GTAAATTATATTAATATAATAACTATATAAAACTATTACAGTTGATGTCAAAATTATTAGCCCCACTGTTTATTTTTTCCCCAATTTCTATTTAACGGAGAGAAGATTTTTTCAACACATTTCTAAACATAATAGTTTTAACCAGGGGTCACCACAGTGGAATAAACCGCCAACTTATTCAGCATATGTTTTACACAGCAGATGCTCTTCCAGCTGCAACCCATCACTGGGAAACACCCATATACACTCATTCACACACATGCACTACAGATAATTTAGCTTAGCCAATTCACCTGTACCGCATGTCTTTGGGCTATGGGAGAAACCCGTGCACCTAGAGGAAACTCAGGCGAATGCGGGGAGAACATGCAAACTCCACACAGAAATCCCAACTGACCAAGCCGAGGCTCGAACCAGCGACCTTCTTGTGTGAGGCGATTGTGCTACCCACTGCGCCACCATTATGCCCTAATTGTGATTTAATTGTAATTTGATTTTGCTTTAATTAAAAAAAAAATGAACAAACATTGGGTTAATCCATATTTGACCCAACATTGGGTTAAAAATGTAACTTATATTAAACTCAATGATAATAATAATATTAAAAAATAATAATAAAACTGTGGACAAATAAAGGGCAACGCGGTGGTGCAGTAGGTTGTGCTGTCGCCTCACAGCAAGAAGGTCGCTGGTTCGAGCCTCGGCTGGGTCAGTTGCCGTTTCTGTGTGGAGTTTGCATGTTCTCCCCGTGTTCGCCTGGGTTACATCCTGGTGCTCGGGTTTCCCCACAGTCCAAAGACATGCGCTACTGGTAAATTGGCTAAGCTAAATTGTCTGTTATGTATGTGTGTGAATGAGTGTACATGGGTGTTTCCCAGTGATGGGTTGCAGCTGGAAGAGCATCCACTGTTTAAAACGTATGTTGCATAAGTTGTCGGTTCATTCCGCTTTAGCGACCCCAGATTAATAAAGGGACTAAGCCGAAAAGAAAATGAATGAATGAATGAATGAATGAATGGACAGAAAAAAATAGAAAACCCCCAGCATTGTGTTGATTTTAATCATTTTATTAAATATCCATATATTTGGGTAAAAAGTGTCATTTAAATTTAATAATAAAAATGAACACAACATTGGGTTTAAAATGTTGGACCAATGTTGAGTTAAAAGTGTGATTAAAATTTAATTTAGAAAAAACTGAACAAAACGAGTTTGTCATTACTTTACCCAACATTGGGTTAAAACATGTCATTTAAATTTAATTGGGAAAAAGTGGACAAACCCAATTAAAAAAAACAATTATGTACAAACCCAAAAGTTCTACTAAATAAATGAATAAAATGAACACAACACTGTGTTGTAATTTGTAGTACACACTGTAGTGTTTTTGAACCATGTTTAATACAGTAAATACTGTAAATATTATCATATTTATTTACAACACTGTAATACTGTAATAAATGCTACTGCAGTGTTACAAATTGAACTCATAAAATGTAAGAAATATGTTGGAAAAGAAAAAAAAATATTTCAAATAAAATATCTAGAGTTGCATTTATATCTTCTAAATAATCTTATTTAAAATATAAGAGGTTTATTATGCAACATTGAGTACATAGGGGATTTCCTACAGGATATTCCCACAGAAACACACACACACTCATTCAGACAAACTCCATCACTATAATTACACTGCTCTAATCTTCTACTCCGTCTGCAGAAATTGACCACATTATTCTCAAACAGGGCCAAGAAATGCTTCGCTTAGATTGACAAAGTGCTCTACGGTACATCTGCTCACCAACAGCTTAAGACATTTCTTTCATAAAGCACTGGAAATAACAAACATCTTCAGTAAGAGCTGAATTTCGATCTGCTGTATGTAATGTGTATTTCGGTACAACACGACAAGAGTGACACAATCTACCAGGGCTTCACTGACTCATCATAAACAACCTTATTTCATCCACAGCCAGCGAATCGTGTGCTTGATGCAGTAAAGCCATTAAGTGGTTCAGGTCTCCGGTGCTCCGGCTGATGGTGGGGATTAATGGGTGCGATTATAGAGGGAGGGAGGAGAGTTATCGTGGAGAGAACTGAACGCGTCTAGTGGGGTTTAAGCTCAGGAGGTTAAAGTAATGGCCGAAAAGGTCAAGGCTAAACTTAGTCTACTTGATGCAATTTGTGTTACAGATTGAACTAAGGCTGATAAAGGGTATACAGGAATCAGAGAGTGAAATTCAATACCTTTTAAGATCTTTTTTAAGACTCTTTCCACACATTTTAAGACTTTAGGTTCATTTTAAACCAATAACAATGACCACATTTGATCCCATGAAATTTAAATGAAGTTTTTAGAATTCAACATTGTTAGTTTTTAAGCTATCTATAAGCTAGAATGCTCAAAAATAGTGATAAAGTTTGTGTTTAGAAGATATTAAACTGATATAAAATGCGTAACGCTTGTAGTTTGTCACTCCCGCCTAAATCAGGAGCATCCAAAGTCGGTCCTGGAGGGCCAGTGTCCTGCAGGTTTTAGCTCCAACTTCCCTCAACACACCTGCAAGGATGTTTCTAGAAAAGCCTAGTAAGTGCTTGATTAGCTAGCCCAGGTGTGTCTGATTGGAATGGAACTAAACTTGGCAGGACACCGGCCCTCTAGGACCGAGCTTGGACATGCCTGGCCTTAATGAATCAACGGTTTTGTACACATCACTTCATACTTTAGTTTCTCATCAAATCCTAACCGATGCTCACTAGTATTTGGCATGACCCGCCCCTTCAAGACGCTTCTTTTTAGCCTTTCATTTGATGCACTTGAGTCGATTAAATTGAAAATTATCGTGTAAAAACAAAATGCTAATTGACTCTCTTCCAGCAGGTGGCGCTCATACAACAGCAGGAGTAATGGTGTTTCCTTGGTTACTGCAGTAAAAGCAAAGTGACTTCAAATCTAGCATTATTTTAGCGATTTCACACACAGAACCCCAATATTTTCATCATTAAATTCAGGCAAACATTAGCATACACTATAATCAAAAATGCTAAAAAATGTAACACCACGTAAAATAACATTATTCATATACTGAATAAATGCTAATTCACTTTCTTCCAGCAGGGGGCGCGTATAGAACATCAGGAATCATTGATATTTACATTAGTTGTCACCTACGCTATTGTTGTCTATTTTAAGTAATGCGTCAATAGAGCAGCAGTTTTGGTACAGGGTCACACTTCTTTGTAATGAAGGTGCAGTGGAGGACTGGCTATCTGGAGCCCAAGATATATATACACATACATACATATCTCTATCTCGGGAGTTTTCCCGGTGGTGAGTATGCAAATATTTTTTATATTATGACAATGATGCTTTGTTTGCTCATTACTACACCCGTACGCAGCGCAAAAGCCCAGCATCTTCATATTGGGTGCAGTCTTGACTAAGTGCGGTTGAATGACATTTGTCCTGGAAGCACTGCACAAATATGCCTGCGGTATTGATGAATGTTCAGGGTCCGCATGCGATATCTAGTGTTATTTATCTATGAGCAGAAGTAACAGTGTTTTCATGGTTACTGCAGTAAACAAAGCATCGTGACGGCAAATCTAGCATTATTTTAGCGATTTCATAAACTACATAGAACCCCAATATTCACCGATTAAATTCAGGCAAACTATAGCATACAGCTACACGTTGCATGATCAACAAATGATTAGGGATGTAACAATACTGTAAATACCGTCATACCGCAATAGTAATTTTTTTCAATATTACCGTAGGCGCATGACTCAATAAAACTATATTTCTGAGAAAAATTTGCTCAGGCGAATGAAGCGAACGGGAGGTAGCTGGAACTACAATTCCCATCAGCCCAGGCCTGGCCATCATCCTTTGCGGTCTGTTGTTACTACAGATCCAGTAATGCGGAAATGGAGTGTGTTGCTAGTAGCGGGGAAGAAAAAGAGCTGGAAATGATCGAACCTAAAGCAGGTTTTAAATCGGATGTGTGGAAGCATTTCGGTTTCTCTCTAAAAAGATACGAAAAAGGAGAAAAGGTGACAGAAAAAGAAAAAAACGGTATACAGGCACTGCCAGACTGTGGTGAAATATAAGCTGGGAAATACGACTAATAACAGTCATGGGGACTGCAGAACACAGCACACTGTTCAGATTGATGCAGACATTGACTTGTACTGCAAAGAGACCTCTATCTCACTCATGGCTTGTCCTCTCAAGTGGTAGAAAGACAATGCACATTGTTACCCGCTGCTGTCAACCTTGGCTAAATCATATCTCTCTGTCCCAGAAACCTCAGTCCCAAATAAAAGGGAATAAAAAATATAAAAAAAATTCTGTTGCAGGGGACATTGTAAATGCCCAGGCATCCCAGCTTTTACCAGATTATAGTTATAGTTATATGATAAAATTGAAGTTCCTGTTTCGAAACTTTTAGATAGATGGCTAATTAGTATGTCATTGATATGTTCAGTGCTAAGGTAAATAAACACTTTTGGCACTTTTTTCGAGTCTTTTCATTAGTTTTGTTTTTCCTGTAAATGATTCAATAAATACCGTACTGCATTCATAACGAGGTATGATCGTACCGTGAACTTCTGATACCGTTACATCCCTATAAATAATACATAATTTAATACATTGTAAAATAGCATTTAAGGGTGCTTTCACACCTGGGAATCGATTCAGTTGTTCCGAAACAGAGATTACTATAGTTACAGTGTTGCTCTTTGTTCTTGGTGCGGTTCGCTTTCATACGTATGAACGTATGAACGTATGAAGAAACATGCTGAGATATAAAAACAAAGGCTTTTTTCAAGGGTTTAAAATTTAGACTCTGGAAAGATCTCAATTTAGCTTTTAATTTTTAAAGTAATAAATGAAAGCCAGCTCAGTTAAATAACTTTGATATTAAATTAATATTACAGTAATCGTACACCTTTTGAGCAAATGAGCTTCTTCATAAACAGACTGCAAATAAATATACACTCACCGGCCACTTTATTAGGTACAGCTGTTCAAATGCCAAGCATTAAAGAGATCAAAATAGCTTTTACAATTAGCTGGTTTTGAAGCAAAGTGATTTTATAGATTTGTTTTGGACAATTTTGATGCAACATTTCACATCACGGTCACCCAAGTTATATATACAGATATATGTACAGTCAAAAAACACTCAAACGCAGTAGAACTAATAAATAAAAGCAGTCATTGTGAACACTTCTGGAGATATAAACATTATTTACACACAGTCATATAAGTAATGACATTTACAGTGTTTCACACATCACTTAAAATATGTGTTATTCTGATATTACTTAACACACAAGAACTAGTAATACAATATTTAATAATCTAGGTCAGTGTTTTCAACACAAACACTACTATTTTTTTAAATTCATGTTGCATAATGAATGAACACAAATTAAAAAAATAACAATAGAATATTTATTAATATTACATAATTGTTTATATTTATAAGACATTAACCTAGATAATTAAATAGTGTAGAAACTGTAAAATTAATCCTTGTTGTGCAGTGCTACTATTTTCTTCCCTAAAACAATCTGGAGTATTTTAAAGGAATGTCAGGAGAGAGAAAAGAGGAAACTTGTGCTCAGATCAGGGTTCAGACTAGAGTGTGAGTGTACATAATGAGCTTTTCCATCACCGTTCAGCGCCGGCTCATCTGACGGCCTCCGATTTGAGACCGGTCACCGCCAGAACCCACAGAGAGCATCACTTCCTCCAGGAAACTTGAACACAGAAGAAGAACAAATTAAATTTTTCAGTCCAATCAGTATATGCATTTATTTATGCCAACTCAAACAGCATTCAACTTAAAGGAACACTTTACCTTTTTATTGAAAAAGGCTTATTTTACAAATCTCCTAGACTTAAACAATTGGCCTGAATCATTTTTAAATCCATTCAGCCAATTACTTGTTCTGGCTGGGTCACTTTTAGCTTAGCTTAGCACAATAAATCAAATCTGATTTGAAGATTAAAATATTTTTGATTTTTTTTTTCAATCAAAGATCTTGATAATTTTCTTATTTAAGGTCTACCTGGTGCAGCCATAGATTCTTGACAATTAAGCCAGAATAACAGAATAATTCCTAGCAATATTGGCCAAGAAAATAGTAAGAAAAAGTTAGATAGTAAATAATAAGATAAATAGTAAGAAAAAAGTTTTCATTTTCCTTTATTCTTATTACATGATGTAACTACAGAAGACTTGAGCTTTAAATAGGAAAATTATCAAAACTTTTAATTTTTTAAACAAAATGTTAATGGTCAAATCCAATTAAATTCATTATGCTAAGCTAAGCTAATAACAATGCTGTCAGAAAAATAATAAAAAAATAAAATAAAATAAAATAAATCGGCTGAATGGATTAAAAAAGCCAACCATTTAACTTGAAAATTAGCCTTTTTAAAAAAAAGGTGGAGTTTTCCTTTAACAATTGTTTATATAGCGTGCTGTCAGACATATAGTGCAGTCCCAAAATACTAATGAATTATTATTTTAATTCTTTACACTTTACCACTCTCCTTAAACCAGTAGGTTTTATGTTCCTATTTATCATATTTTGCTGCTATATGCATACATACATACACACATACATAGACAGACAGAAAGACAGGTAGATATACAGTTGAAGTCAGAATTATTAGCCCCCCATTGATTTATTTTCTTTTTGAAAAATTTCCTAAATTGTGTTTAACAGAGCAAGGAAATTTTCACAGTATGTCTGATAATATTTTTTCTCCTGGAGAAAGTCTTATTTGTTATATTTCGACTAGAATAAAAGAAGTTTTACATTTTTTAAACACCATTTTAAGGTCAATATTATTAGCCTCCTTTAGGCAATATTTTTTTCATTAATCCACAGAACAATCCATCCTTATACAATAACTTGCCTAATTACCCTAACCTGCCTAGTTAACCTAATTAACCTAGTTAAGCCTTTTAATGTGGGCGGAGTGGGTAGCACAATCGCCTCACAGCAAGAAGGTCGCTGGTTTGAGCCTTGGCTGAGTCAGTCGGCATTTCTGTGTGGAGTAGTGTGTGTGTGTGTGTGTGTGTGTGTGTGTGTGTGTGTGTGCGTGTGTGTGTGTGTGTGTGTGCGTGTGTGTGTGTGTGTGTGTGTGTGTGTGTGAATGAGCATGTATGGATGTTTCCCAGTGATGGGTTGCAGCTGGAAGGGAATGCTCTGCTTAAAAACATATACTGGATAAGTTGGCGGTTCATTCCACTGTGTCGACCGCAGATTAGTATAGGGACTAAGCCGAAAAGAAAAAAAATGAATGACTGAAGCCTTTAAATGTCACTTTAAGCTGTATAGAAGAGTCTTGAAAAATATCTAAATATTATTTAGTGTCACTATGGAAAAGATAAAATAAATCAGCTATTAGAAATGAGTTATTAAAACTATCATGTTTAGAAACTTGTTGAAAACATCTCTCCATAAAACAGAAATTGGGGGGAAAAAGAAAAAGGGGAGCTAATAATTATGACTTTAACTGTATATATATACTTAAATATATATAATAATTTAAGTTTTAATAAATTAAATATTTAGTAAATAATTTAGTTTTTTGCAGTTTGTACTATACAAACAAAAAATTGTTACCTGATTTTGTTAACTCTTCATATAAAGTCATATTAATAAGTAGAGTACATTTTTTAATAAGTACAAAATTATGTTGTTTTATCTTTATATCTGTTACACTGAATGGTGATGAAACACTATCGCACCCATATTTTCATCTTTTATTTTCACAAGAGTTGTTTGAAACCTTTATTGCTTATTTAAAAGTAGATGCTTTACTTGCATCTAATATGATTCTATACATGAAAAAATGTCTTCTATATATTTAATTTGATGGGAACATCAAAATGGCGTCTCATCATTGACCCTTATTTATATTTGCCATAAATTAGAATGATAAAACCGTGCTAAAACAAGAATCCCAATACTGTAGAGCATCAGTGAAATCTCACTCATCTGAAAAACACAGTCATACAAAGACAACCATGTTTGTTCTTTACATAACGTCATTCTGCATCCGGTATCGTTCTTGAAAATTGCTCAAGCGCCAGAGGGCGAGGAAAGATGGTGAAAGCATTTAGACTCTGACCTCTTAGTGTTGTGAATGTGTGTGCCCCCGAGCACGATGCGGACGCCTGGCATTGTGCGGTTCAGGTTGTAAACAGTCAAAGCCTCCTCGTAAGTAGCTCCGCCAATGATGAAGACGATAATGTCCTGAGGTCTGAGGGTGTGAAGGAGAGCATTTATGTAACTGCTGTTCATGGGTTTGAAGTACAAAGCTGTACTTAAAGTATATTAATCATGCAACTTGATGGTTGAATGTTTAAAATTGAGAATGAACAGTTCATCTGTAAAGCCATAGAGTCATCATTTACTCACTGTAGTGTGGTTACAATGCTGTATGCCCTTCATTTGTTTTCATAACACAAAAATGTAGACGTAAAGACATGTTGGTCTATGCTGGGTTTCACAAAATTACATCATGTTGTCCCAATACAAATTAAGTTGACGTAATTGTTTTTGCAAACTTAAGTGAAATAAAAATAAAACATTTAAAGGACCACGAAACCCCCAAGTATACCTAGCAAGACCTTGATTAGCTTGTTCAGGTGTGTTTGATTAGGGTTGAAGCTAAAATCTGTAGGGCACCGGCCCTCCAGGAACAAGTTTGGTGACCCCTGGTTAACACGTTCTTTTTAATTGTGACCTAGAGGTGCAGAGGTGATTTTATTATTGTCCTGTAAAAGATACTTAGTAATTGTAACAGAATGGGCTCTGTGATTATTCGGATGACAAACATTTAATTAGTATAAGTCATTCCAAATAAAATAATCAAATGTGTATGTGTTTTTGTGACATATCAGGACACAAATGTGTATAATGACATGGGTATGACACAGGTATTACAAAAACGAGGTGAAATATGAGGAAATTGGTGACGTCCTCATTTCTCAAAAAGCGTATAAATCCCACAGGATGAGATTAATCAGAGAGTAAAGCTGCACATAGTCTCCTGTGATAGTTGGGTTTAGGGGTGGGGTGAGGGCAATACAATATATGATTTAGACAGTATGAAATTAATGGAAACCCATGTATTGTACCCACTTTTTACAAAAACAAACATGTGTGTGTGTGACCTTTGTGCACTTGATATGTCTGAGAAAATCAAAATAAGCAGCTCAGCTCTGAGAACATAGTAATCATGGTAAGTGTATTCATGCACGCATACTATAATCTGCTGTTTTACTCCATAGAACTGCACATAAAAGCCAGAAACTGTTTTGCACAGGCCTATCTTAAGGGTTAATGCTGACAACTGATGATCAACCGTACAAATTACTCATTGTATTCCTTCCCAACAGATAAAACCAGCAACAATCAAGAATGCATGGTGTTATGGCTTTGCAATCAAAAACTGTTGTTATAATGGAAGTCAATGGGGCAAAAACAGCCCCGAACATAATGAAAGGGTAGCTCATTTGAACAGTACAAAAGGATTAATAGGGTCCAAAAAATAAAGAAAGGTATAAATCCATGAAACAACACCAGGATGAATAAATGATGACTACATTTTCATTCTTGTGTAAACCACCCCTTTAAAGCAACAACAAAACACTTCCATTAGTTGTCTATACGCGTGCCCGTATATCATTAATGCATGAGTGTGCATCTATTTATATTTCTGTGTCACCTGTCTCTCAGTGAACTTGGCCCGAGGTATGGGAACTGGCTGTCCTTCAAACGACCCTTGATCAGCTGATCCAGCGTGTCATGAAGAAGCGGCTGATGCTGCGTGTACACATTCTCAACTCCCTATGCAAACACACACACACACATTTGAGCATGCATGTTAGCATTTATGACATGCAAACCAGACATATAATGTGGTATAGTGAATAACACATTGGTAAACAGGTGAGCTACCTTAAGTCCTTTGAAAAACTGCTTTGTAATGGAAACAGCATCTGTGGGAGTGATGAGGTCACTTCCTCTGATTCGTTTTCCACCATATTCCACCACAGCATGTACCATCTGCAGTATAGAGGGAGGAAATATTTTACTTAATTATTTTTTTAATTTGCAGTTGAAGTCAGAATTATTAGCCCCCCTAAATTATTGGACCCCGTTTATTTTTTTCCCCAATTTTTGTTTAACGGAGAAAAGATTTCTTTAACACATTTCTAAAAATAATATTTTTGATAACTGATTTATTTTATTCTTGCCATGATGACAGTAGATAATATTTCACTAGATATTTTCAAGACACTTCTATACAGCTTAAAGTGACATTTAAAGGCTTAATTAGGTTAATTAGGTTAAAAAGGAAGGCTTTTGTATAACAATGGTTTGTTTTGTAGACTATTGAATAAAAAAATTGCTTAAAGGGGCTAATAATATTATCATTAAAATGGTGTTTAAAAAATGCAAAACTGCTTTTATTATAGCCAAAATAAAACAAATAAAACTTTCTCCAGAAGAAAAAATATCATCAGACATACTGTGAAAGTTTCCTTGCTCTGTTAAACATCATTTGGGAAATATTTAAAAAAGTTAAAAAAATTAAGGGGGGGCTAATAATTTTGACTTCAACTATATATCATGTTTTTTGCACAAAATATAATATACTTCATACATAATTCATTCCAGAATTGCAGGGACATTCAATTAGTTTTCTTTAAACTGAAATGATAAACAATAAATGTATAAATATGTATACAGTAAACTGAATGCATTAATAATGTATAATAATGCAAAATTCTTAAATGTGATATGCTACATTTGATTCTATTACTAATTGTTGTCTAATGGTGAATCCTAAACAGTTTGTTCAAATTAATGAGAAGAATAATGGCACGCCTCAGTGCATTCCAGAGTTTCCCGCAAGAAGTGACATCATTTGGAGCAAGTCACATGCTTTCTATCAGTGCTTTACAGAGTATTCTATGCATGGGTGTTTCCTAGTACTGGGTTGCGGCTGGAAGGGCATCTGCAAGGTAAAATATATGCCGGAATAATTGGCAGGTCATTCCACTGTGGAGACCCCTGATAAATCAGAGATTAAATAGAAGGAAAATGAATGAATGATCGCCCTTAAATACACATACAAGCAATACCTTCAGAGATAATTTGATAGAATTTGTGTTATAAAACAAAACTGGAAAAGTTTCATTAATGTTTTGTTTTTGAAAAATAATAGAAAGTTGAACTAAGAAATGCAAAATGCACCCACAATTTCAGAATCACCCACATGCTAGTTTCAGTTTCACTTTATTTAATTTAGTTTAGGATTAACGTTAATAATAAATGTTGTGTTTGGGTGGATACGATGATGATGAAGTGTGTGAAATTAAAACACATTTGTGTTTGAGCTTGTTTAAATCATTAGGTACATTTTGGAACTCATTTCTGGATAATTTTACGAAATACCTGAATTCAATTTATCCGTTTTTGCCAACAATAAAACTCTGACACAGTTCCTGACCTTGCGGTGTCTCTCAGACACTCCCTTGCGGTTGAGCTCCTCCATAAGGCTGGGTAAAATACTGCTGCTGTGTTTCTCATAGCGAAGCGCATACAGCATCACCAGCCGCACAGCATCAATTTCAGAAAGACGAGGGCTTTGCAGTAGACGCCTGAGCATCTGCAGAAAAAAGTGAGTAAATCTTAAAAAAGGTGACTATTTCATCTTAACATGCTGTAGAAAATCACATGGGACTTTGTGGCCTGTTAAAATGCTTAAAGTCGGAAATATCTTTCTTTCCAGCTTTTGAAAAGTTATCTTTTGCTCATCAAGGCTGCACTAAAAACTGTGAAGTTTTAAAATATTACCAGTGATAATAATATAAATGTTTCACTGTTTAAAGCTAAAAATATGTATTTAAAATGTTCAGAACCATTGCTCAGCATTACTACTACAGTCTTGTGTTATACATTATAAAACATTATATTATTTTATTTTATATCATATTATTATGAATATACTCTATAAAGTATTTGTTTATATATATATATGTATGTTATATATATATTAAATGTACAGTTAGGTGTGTATTTATTATTTGTAACACACATTTTCAAGATTCTTTGAAGTCAAAACACAATTTTCAAAAGTTACTTATGTCCCTTTTAAAATAAATGTATGAGTTCTTGCTGAATAGAAATGTTGAATTTATTTTACCATTTTACTTCTTCTAAAGGAAGCTGACAGTCATGTACGTTAAAATGAGGTTTTGTATCAAGAATGCAAATACAGTCAAATAGTAGTTTGCATGCCCACCTGTTGTGCATTGGAGTGGTCATTCTGACAGGCCAGCTCCTGCTCCACCTCCGACACCTCCATCAGCTGCCGTTCGCTGACCAGACGAGACAGCTCTCCGACCACGGTCACATGCTTCGAGACGGTGCCTGACATCTTCTTAAACTGGGGGTAGTTTTCCACAAAAGCCTACAACGGGGCCAGAAAGCGGTCAGAAATTTTGGTAACACAATAATAGCAAGTTTTGCAACAAGGGTTGACATGATTTACTCCTCGTTTAAAAGGACAGTTCACCCAAAACTGAACTTTCTGTTTTGAAAATCCAACAAATCCTTTTTTAGGCTGAAAATCCTTTTGAAGATATTTCGAAGAATGTTAGAAGCCGGTAAACAATGATATCTGTACATAAAACAAATACTATATGGAAGTCAATGTTACCAGTTTCTAACATTGTTCAAAATATCTTCATTTGTGTTAAACAAAAGAAAAAAAACTATTGAAGGTTTGGAACCACTTGGTGCTGAGTAAATAGTGAGTACATTTTCATTTTAGGGTGAACTGTCCCTTTAAGATATGCTACAGTGAACAGCACTGACATCTGTATATCAAACTACTAATATATGGAAGTCAATTGTTACCTGTTTTTTAATATTCTATAAACTATCTTAATTTGTGTTTAAGAAGTAACCATTAAAGGTTTGGAACCACTTGATGGTGAGCAAATAGTGAGTAAATTTTCATTTTAGGGTGAACTGTCTCTTTAAGATGTGCTACAGTGAAGAGTATTAATTTAAGTTCAGCAGTGCTCCACTCACCTTCATGTCAGATATAGACTCTAACTTCTGTTGGTCCTTGGGTTTTTTCTTCTGGAAATCCTCCATCAGGTTCTTGATGTTTGTTCCAATCTCACCAAAATTCAGGTATAAGTTCTTATTGAGAGAAAAACAACACATAAACACAAAATCACTAAAGAAGAAAAATGAAGTTAGTATTTTTCTCATTCTTTAGTTTTCTAAAATAAGTTATATTCTTAGCATAATACTTGAAGAGAGAAAAATAAATAATTGAAATAAATATTTAATGGAGGCAATGATTTAAGAATCGTCTAGTATTTGATTTTAGTTTTTTATTTATTTATTTATTTATTTTTTTTTTTTTTTTTTTTTTTATTGAGCGTATATATATGTTATACAATTTCAATCAACAATACAAAAAAGGCTCGAATATTTTTTGTTTGAATATACATACAAAACAAAGCAGAAAAGACAAACAGTGTGGAAGTAGAATACAATTTTGTAGCAAGAAGTACAATAAGAGTTTATATATAAAAAAAAAAAATGGAAGAAAATGCGTGTTTATACAGATACTGATTGTAAGAAGTCTATGAAGGGTTGCCAAATATTATAAAAACCTGAGAGATTGTCCTTCACCAAATATCTAATTCTTTCTAAATGTAAAGTATTGGAGAGATCTCGAAGCCACATTTTGTCAGTCGGTATCGTTGGTCCTTTCCATGACATCAAAAGTAATTTTTTTGCAGTTATAAGAGAGTAGGAAATGAACCGCTGTTGAGCTGAAGTAAATTTTCTAAATAGCTTTGATGTGCCAAGAATAATCAACAATGGATCAGGTGATAGTGTAGTCTTAAAAACTCTTGACAATACATTAAATACATCAGACCAGTAGTTTGTGACCTTCGGGCAAGAAAAAAAAGCATGGAAAAGTGTTGCATTAGGGGACTGACATTTATCACAGTTGGATAAAGCGTTTGGGAAAATGTTGTGAATCTTTACTTTTGAAAAGTGAAGCCTATGTATAATTTTGAATTGTATAAGACGATGTCTCGTATTATAGGAGCATGAGTGTATGTGTTCCAAAGATTCTTCCCAGATGTCATCAGGAATATGGGTACCCATGTCTTTCTCCCAGCTATCCTTGTATTTATTGGATGAGGGGGGGGATATTGTTTGTAATTTGTTATATATATTAGAGATAAATTTATTTTTATATGGGGATATAGTGCAACATTCATCAAGCATAGATTGTGGTTGTGTATCGAAATCTGGCATTAATTTTTGAATGTAATCTCTAACCTGTAGATATCTAAAGAAATTATTGTTATGTAATTTGAACTTTGTTTGCAATTGTGCAAAGGAAGCAAATTTACCCTCAATATACAGGTCACGGATACAACATAATCCTAATTTCCTCCAATTAGTAAACGTCAGATCTAAATTAGAAGGGGGAAAGGATGGATTTTTAGCAATTGGTAAAGAAAGAGGCAGCGTCTTGTGGGTAAAGTGTGATTTAATTTGTCTCCATATACGAAACAAATTATGTATGATCGGATTTTGAATGTCCTTTGTTTTGTCAAGTGGTAAAGGTGAAAGTACTAGGGCAGCAGGTAAATATGGATCACAGTCTTCCATTTCAATAGCTAACCAAATGGGGAGAGTGTTAGAAGTGATGTTAAAGGAGTTAATATTTTTCAAAGCACACGCCCAATAATACATCATGAAATTTGGGAGGGATAGACCACCGTTCATTTTAGATTTGGTTAAATGTTTTTTGCTAATTCTTGGAGTTTTATAATCCCATAGAAATGGTTGAATAATTGAATCGATTTTCTTGAAAAAGGATTTTGTTAAGAAAATCGGAATATTTTGGAACAAGTAAAGTACTTGAGGTAAAAAGATCATTTTGATTGCATTTATCCTCCCAAGTAGTGATATTGGTAAGGTTTTCCAAAACTGAATTTTATTTTTAAGTTTTTCCAATAGAGGTGGAAAATTAGATTGCATGAGAGAGGAAAGTTTCTTTGTAACCTCTATACCCAGATATGTGAATTTGTCATTGGTAACCTTAAAGGGGAACCTTGCTAACGTTGTTTGAGGAATGTCATGAACTGGCATTAGTGAACTCTTTGTCCAATTTATCTGGTATCCTGAGAATTTCCCAAACATTTCAATTTTTTCAAGAATGGATGGTATAGAGAGGAGAGGTTTGGTCACATACAACAAAATATCATCTGCATATAGCGAAATTTTATTTGTTGTGGTCTTTGTCTGATAACCATATATTTGGGGGTCTAAACGTATACTTTGTGCAAGTGGTTCAATAGCTAGAGCGAAAATTAGAGCTGACAGGGGGCATCCTTGACGTGTTCCTCTGAACAGATGAAATGAGGAAGACAAATTGCGGTTTGTATGAATTTGAGCTTTGGGGTTTGTGTATAAAAGTCTTATCCATTTAATGAACCTTTCACCTAAATTAAGTCGTTTAAGTACTTCAAACAGATATTCCCACTCTATCTGATCAAATGCCTTTTCAGCGTCGAGAGTCAATATGGCTAGATCGTTGTGAGTTTTCCTGTCAGTGTATAAGATATCAAACAGACGTCGTAAATTAGACGATGAGGATCTATTTGATATAAAGCCAGTTTGATCGCTGTGAACTATTGTATTCATTAAAGGGGTTAGTCTATTGGCCAGGATTTTTGCATATATTTTATAATCTATGTTTAATAGGGAAATTGGACGATATGAGCCAACGTTTAGCTCATCTTTCCCCTTTTTATGGATAACAGTGATTGTAGCTTGAGTTAGTGTTGGTGGCAGGGTGCTGTCTAGTTGGGCTTGGTTGTACATTCTGTGGAGAAATGGTATAAGGATATTACTAAATTTTTTATAAAGTTCGACCGGCATACCATCAGGGCCAGGTGATTTTCCGCTTTTAAGGGAGGCTATTGCCTTTTGTATTTCTGTGGCTTGGATATCTGTATTAAGCATTTCCGAGTCTTCATGTAGTTTTTTATTTATTTAAACATGGCCAAAACTCTCAGAGGACCCCGGTTTCAGCAAAACATCTTTAAATCTTATAGTTACAAGTTAAATAAGCAAATGTATAACATTTTGAGTGCACACACAAAAAAACTAAACAATTAAGTTTCAATCACCAACAATTATTATTGGTTATTTAATGTATTGATAATAACTCTTAATATTTTAAAGTTATTATCTTTACTGTAAATGACCAATAATAATTATACTAATTATATTAATATTCATTTAACTCGAAAAATAAGTTAAAAAGTTGAAATAAAAAGATTTTTCTCTTATTTTCGAGTGCCTTCGGACTTAATTTTTTTGTTTATCTTTGTGAATCCCTTATCCAAAGAGCACAGACACATTAATTACCCATGAAGCACTTTTTTGTTTGATTTTAGATTTATATTCTGTATTTCCATGTTCTAAGACTTCAGTGTGTATTTATATGAAAACAAATCTAATAATTTCATAATGTCATACAATCTATGGATGCTCTACTGGTGCTAAAAAACATCAAATCAGCCACTCACATTTGCATAAAACTCGTCATTTTCAGCAGACAAGACCACCTCCCGCAAGTCCTTACTGATTCCAGGCACTCTGGACAGGTCTATGCGGTTGTTATTAAGGCCCAGCAACTCATGAACCATGGCCTGATACGTCCACTAGAGGAAGCAAACACAAGCACATCAAGCATCTGCAGCAAAAATTAAACACTTCATCATTATGTAGCGTTTAATGTGCTGCAGTAAGACAGATTTCAGCAAAAGCAAACAGCACTCGCTGACTCCAGTAAACCTCAGAGTGGAGAAAAATAATAAAAAGCTTTGCTTTTAATGTCTAACACTATATAACAACACTGAAAATGCCTTCAAAGCATTTTCTATATAATCCAGAATGAAAACATGGGCTCTACCTCCCTCTGGTGGTCTGTCTAAGATTTTGAATAAAGATCTGAAGCTGTTTTCACAAAACATCTTAAGGCTATATTTGAAAATTTACAAGAAAATAAATAAATAAATATATAAATAGTTTATTTTGTTTGTTTGTTTGTTTGTTTGTTTATTTATTTATTTAAAGACTCCTACATTTTTGCCCAAAAGTACCACAATGAGTTCTTAACAAGTTATTGCCTTAATCATGAATATAATCCCAAATGGTCAGAAATATGTTTTTAAAAATGTGTACATTTATTTCCTGCATAAATGTATTTGCATACACTGCATAAATATATGCACATACATGTCCTTTAAATATCATTTTGTCCACTTTTACATAATTTTAAAATCAATTAAAAATATATTTACTTGATTATTTTCTAAAAATGCATACTTTTTTTTAACACTGGAGGAAATTATTGAATGTCCAAAATACTAAAAGCAAGTAAGATCATTTTAACAATGTAATTCTTTACAAGCCTACATTATATAATCTTTGTTTGAATGTGGCAATATTTTTAATTTGAACACTTTATTTAAATATGGCAACATAATATCCAGCTCTGGGCAGTGGCTCAGTGGTTGGTACCCCACAGAAAGGAGGTCACTGGTTCGAGTCTCGGCTGGGTCAGTTTGCGTTTCTGTGTGGAGTTTGCATGTTCTCCCAGTGTTGGTATGGGTTTTCTCCGGGTGCTCCGGTTTCCCCCACAGTCCAAACACATGCGGTATAGTGCGGTTTCGGGATAGTTTTTATCCTGTCATTATAAAACTTTTGAATAATACCATTTCTTAAGCATTGTTGATAGCTAGTGTTAAACATAAATCAATAAATTTGTTAAACTAGCATAAATTGTTAATAATACAACAAATGGTGAAATAGGTGTTTAAGTATTAAGTTATTCTCTTCAGAGATTTTTAAAAAATAGGTTAAATGTTATATAATTATATTTTTATATTTTTATGGAATTATAAAAGCTTATTTATCATGTTAGGATTATACAGTGTTTGTAGAGTGATGTTTTTTTATGTTCTTGTTGGGTCTGTTGCAACGTAATTTCGTTCTGCATTACAATTCTATTGTGATGTGTTGAATGACATAAATAAAGGAAACTGAAAACTGAAACTGATAGGTGAACTGAACTAAATTGCCCGTAGTGTATGTGTGTGGATGAGTGTGTATGGATGTTTTTTCAGTAACTGGGTTGCTGCTGGAAGGACATCCGCTGTGTAAAACATATGCTGGATTAGTTGGCGGTTCATTCCACTGTGGCAACCCCTGATAAATAAAGAGACTAAGCCAAAGGAAAATTAATGAATGAATATCATGCTCTACAGAGTTTTCATAAATTAATCTCTGACAGAGACTCCTCCCTCTTCCTATCAGCCAATCAAAGCGTGCATAATCTGTACTCAAGGTGACATCATCATCGCAATGAGGTCAACCCCGCCCTCACTCTTAGCCTAAAGGGATGGTTCACCCAAAACTGAATATTCTGTCAACATTTACTCACCCTTCACTTGTTACAAACCTGTTTGAGTTTTTTTCTGTTGTTGGTGTTGCTGAACACAAAAGTTATTTTGGAAAATGCTGAAAACGTGTAACCTTTGACTTACATATTCTTTATTTTTCCTCTTTTGGAAGTAACTAGTTACCAGTTTTCAGCTTTCTTCAAAATATCTTCTTTTAGGTTCAGGAGGACAAAAAACTGTGTGAATTATGTGAACTATCCATTTAAGACTTTAAGACTGAATAGGTTTAAAGAGAAAATTATTAGCTACAAACAAAACATTTATTATTATTTATTGATTTATTTTTGCTATTTAGAAGACCTCTTAGTGGGAGGATAAACTGTTGTGTGAATAATGGCTCTGGTTCTGTAATTTGAGATTCAGAGGTGTACAGTAACAATAGAGACATGTCTTCTTGCCTGATTGAGAAGAGGAGTGATTGCATCATCACTTCTGTCCAAAATCAGCAGAAGAGGAGGCACTTCTGTTTTTCTGAAGTCAAACAGTTCGTACTCCTTAGTAATGATTTGCTGTGGAGAAACACAAACAGATCATGTGTTGATAAATCTTTGTTTGAGAGGAAGAAAGTCTGAGACAAATAAATGTATAGAGTATGTATACTTTGACGCTCTCCGCCAGTCTTTTAGACATGTCAGACGAGAGCTGGTAGCGGATCATGGGGCATTTCTTCAGGGATAGCAGAACTGATGTCAAACCTTGAGTGACACGAGGAAGAACACTGGGCTCCCAACTGCGACCCTACAAACATACAGAGACATTCAAAGCCAGACAAAATCAAGAGTTGTGAAGGTATGGAAAAAAAAGTATTAAAACTGCCAGTAGGTGGCAGCAAGTACCTGTCTTAATGAGTGATTCAGTGAACCAGTAGTTCAAACGATTCATTCAAAACGGTTCATTTACTTACTAACCCTTTGTATGAAATACCCTGGAGTGCTACAAGGAGATATTATGAGACGTTTATGAGTAAAAAAAAGATTTTTACATGGTAATTTATACCAATAAAGTTATCATATATGGATCTTTGACTGATAAATGATTAATAAAGGATGGCTGCTTCAGAAATTGCATACTTTCTAAAGGACATGCTAATTTAAAATATATGCAGGGCTTTACATTAACACCTGCCAAGATTTCAGCTTTGGCGGGTTAGACAGACAATCCCACTAGCCACTTTGGCTGGTTGAAAATAATTTTTAAATTGTAGTTTTCCTAAAAGCAGGGTTCGACAATATAAGGATGGCCCAATATGAGTGCAAATGTGATCTTAGAATCGAGAAGTAAAATAATTGTGAACACCCGAGCAGAAGAAAGCAAGTGAATACCGTATGAGAGGATGATCGCTCGCGCTAACAGCTGATGTGATGCGCACGGCTGATTAACGCGTGCGCGCTCCCGAATTGTGAAGCAACCGTGTCTGGAACAGGTTCTGGAAACGCAACTGTCATCGGTTCTCTTTCAAATAAACTAGACAAATAGTGATGAACATGCACCCACAGTCCTGATGCTTTTAAGAGCTCAAAATGTGTCTTTTTTTAAGCAGCACCGGTTACTTTCACTTTGAACAGATTATTAAATGGCCTAAAGTTAACCGTGAGCATGTGATCATCCTTTCATTATCACACACGGTATGTTTCACCTGCTTTCATTTGCTTACGGTTTTATTTGCTTTTATTTTTGTTAAAATGGTTTAATTATTTAATTTTTTTTTTACAACATCGCTTTAATGGGAGATGAACTCTCCATTTATGTGCAGTTAACTGTTGATCCGAGAGATCTTTAGCCACGACAGATTACTGTGCATATTTTTGATACATGACAATAGTTATTTTTTAAAAGTCAATTGCTTTTCTTTCTTTTTTAAGAAATGTTTTGTTGAATAAAAAGTTTCGTATACAGCTATATTTTGCTTGTTTTGACACATTAAAAACTTGTGGCTAAGAAATAATTATTGTTCCGTGTGGTAATAGAGATAAATTTGGTACATCAATAATTTTGAGCCCTAAAAAAAGTCATGTGAAATAAAAACTAATTGCCATATAACACTATGAAACCATGACCTGCTCATGCTCATTGAGCTAACTCATACTCGACACACAAAAAGTGAAATGAATGAGGAGCATGTGGACATAACACAAAATTTAAATCAAGTAATTTTTGCATGTCGACATTAAATTTATGCATATAAAAATATTTTCCCAACAACAAAATTGTGGCTAGTAACACTGGAAAACTACTAGCCACAGTGGCCGGTGATTAAAAAAGTTAATGTAAAGCCCTGAATATATGTAATATATGATTGCACCCACTTAAATCATAGATTATTTCAATTTAAAACTCATTAAATGCAGGACAAAACATTCAAAGCAACAAAATAAAGCGTTAGGTTCCCTTAAAAAAGCCTGTTTAATAAAAAGCCTTCATTTTTTTCTCTTACCCTGGATACTCCTTGAAGGTTTAGAGAGAAAAGATGTGGGTTCACGGCAATGAAATCTCCATAGAATTCCTGGAGAAACACAAGACAAATTGTCTGAGGAGAAAAAAGATATGTAAAGCTTGAAAATATTATTTTAATGCTTTTTAATTACCTGCACTTCTGCAACTACTTCCTGTTCATCTGCCTCAGCCAAAGCCTTTACTTCGCTCTTACTGATCACGTTACTGAAATCTGCAGAGAATAAATCCAAAAGCCAGTGAAATCTGCATCTTTCTAGAACCAGGTTAGCATATATTTTGCAAATACAGTTGAAGAGAAAATTCTTAGTGACAATTTAATTCTTTCTCAATTAGATCATTTGACATGGCAGGTTTATTTTGCACAGAATTTCGTATTATATATAATATAATGGTATGTTATAATAATATAATAATTACTTTTAATATAATATTTGTTCTGGAGAAACTTTATTGTGATTTAGTTTCGCTGAAATAAAAAAAAAGTGTTGACAAATATGGAAAAATTACTACGATTAATATAATTTACTCATACAATCACCGGCCACTTTATTAGGTACACCTTACTAGTACTGGCTAAGCCTTCGTGGCAGAGATTCAACAAGGTACTGGAAATATTCCTCAGAGATTTTGCTCCATATTGGCATGATAGCATCACACAGTTGCTGCAGGTTTGTCGGCTGCACATCCCTAATGCAAATCTCACTTTCCACCACATCCCAAAAGTGCTCTATTGGATTGAGATCAAGTGATTGTGGAGGCCATTTGAGTACAGTGAACTCATTGTCATGTTTAAGAAACCAGTCTGAGACGATTCACGCTTTATGACATGATGCGTTATTTTGCTGGAAGTAGCCATCAGAAGAAGGGTACACTGTGGTCATAAAAGGATGAACATGATCAGCAACAATAATCTGGTAGGCTGTGGTGTTGACACGATGCTCAATTGGTACTAATGGGCCCAAGTGTGCCAAGAAAATATCCCCCACACCATTACACCACCTACACCAGCCTGAATCATTCATAAGAGGCAGGATGGATCAATGCTTTGATGTTGCTGATGCCAAATTCTGACTCTACCATCTGAATGTCGCAGCAAAATAATAAATAAAAAAATCGAGACTCATCAGACCATGCAACGTTTTTCCAATCTTCTATTGTCCAGTTTTGGTGAGCCTGTGTGAATTGTAGCCTCAGTTTCCAATTCTTAGCTGACAGGAGTGGCACCTGGTGTGGTCTTCTGCTGTTGTAGCTTATCCACCTCAAAGTTGGACGTGTTGTGCATTCAGAGATGTTGCTGCATATCTTGTTTGTAACATACTTAAGTGCATTAAAGTTGCTGCCATGTGATCGGCTGATTAGAAAATTGCGTTAACGAGCAGTTGGACCAGTGTACCTAATAAAGTGGCCGGTGAGTCACAGATGTCTCATTTTTTTGACTACAGAACAAAACACTATATCTTGCTAAATAACTAGCAAAATTGTATGTACTGTCAAGACAAAATAAATAAATTATTAGAAATTAATTATATTTTAAAAAGTGTTGAAAAAAAATCTGTCTATTAAACATAACTCGGGAAACATTTAAAAAGAATAAATACTTCATGGGATGGCTTTTGTGTTGAACTGTAAATTACTTGCACTCACAGATGAAATAGACACTATATTTGGGCCGCCGAAGCTCTTGAATCAGGTGCTCTACGTTCTCCTGAAATCAAAGAGGGTGTGAAATATTATATAATAGAAGTATGAAATAATCTAGACATGTCTAGTCTAAATCAAAGACCATGATAAAACTAAAAACAGGTCTACCTTGGTCGGGCGGAGAAAGCATATCGCCTTAAGATGCTTCATGTTGTCTCGGTTTTGTGAGTCGATGCGCTCAAAAAGGTAAACTTCCTTCTGCAGGATCTCAGACTGTGTGTAGACCACGCTCACTATACTGGTCTAGAAAACAAATAAACAATGCTGTTTGGTACTGGTGTCTACAGGTTTGGAGCGAGATTAAATAAAGAGCAAATTGTGATTTTGGAAACCAGCATGGAAGTGACCAACACCCCTCTAAAACCAGCTTGGTTGACCAGCTTAGGCTGGTTTATACTGTTTTTTTTTTCAGTAGGGACATGACTTGTTTTAGCTATTTTGGTCCATTTAAACTTTGCAGTGTGAAAGCAAACTGCTCCAAGAGCAAAGAGCAACACTGTAACAATTTAATCCCTGTTTCTGAACAAATGAATCAATTCACAGGTGTGAAAGCACCCTAAGTGTAGTTTCCATCTCTTGATTCTGAAAAAAAAAGTAGCAAAAAAGGAATGATAGCGATATGTTAACTTTTATTGTTGTGATATCTCACAATTCTAACTTTTTCTTAGAATTTAGGCAAATGTATTTTTTCTTTTTAACATTTCTTATTTGAGAGATGAAAACAAAAACAAATTGTGACAAAAATTCAGAAGTATTTGTTTCCTCAGAATTTACTATCAGAATTATTTATTATTTTGAGTTTACATTTATTCATTCGACTTCGGCTTAGTCCCTTCATTCAGCGGAATGAACCATTAACTTATCCAGTATATGTTTTACACAGCGGATATGCTTCCAGCTGCAACCCAGTATTAGGAAACTACCATACACTATCACATTCACACACAGCCAACTTAGTTTATTTATTTAATCTATAGCGCATGTGTTTGGACTGTGGGGAAACCAGAGCACCCGGAGGAAACCCACACCAACACGGGGAGAACATGCAAACTCCACACAGAAATGCCATCTGACCCAGCAACCACTGAGTCACCGTGTCGCCCCTTGAGATTACATATCATTGTCCATAACAGTACGTCGTTATAATCAACCTGTATTAACCCTAACCTTTTTAAATTCTGCTTCACTATTTTATTGGACGCGAAAGTCCGAATATAAACTTTACCTCAATGTAACGTTAGCCTGCTGACTGCCATTTACTTCAGAGTTAAAGTTCAGTTGTTTGACACATGACAGGTCAGCAAACGCTATTTATACTATACAAAGTACTAGTTTATCTGTGGTTCATACATATGTGCGCTTTTATTATTGATCTTTAAAGCCTTTAAAACACAGTGGCATATCCTAAATTGACTCACCGTCTCCTTGTCCATCAGCAGCACCTTCATCCCAGGTCCGCTGCTCTCTATCATTTTGGAAATGTACTGTTTCACAGCAAGAGTCACGTTCATTTTGGCGTTTTATATATATATTCTACGTGTTACTGAGAATAAGTCGATTTATCAGATGGTTTCAATGTTGTTTAAAGGGTGAATAAAGCAGTTTTCATCAGTAAACTCACGTATACAGTTTACTGTTGACAATGGGAGAAGACCCACTAGTGCTTCCGGTGTACGCGAGGCGTCAGTCTGCTTCTGATCTGGGAACAGCTGGAATTTAAAACGATTTGAGGGTTTAGAATGGTCGTGTTGTGTAGTAACTGATCTGGTAGCAGTACATGACAAATATCCCATAATTCAAGGCTGCTACGTAAAACGGAGTAAATGAGGCGCCATGTTGGTGAGGGCGAAAGAGCGTTTCAGATGCTGTTAACTATTAGCTTCTATTATGTATTATTTTTATTGAATAAAAAATACATACATGATTAAAATGAATATATATATATATTAAAAGAAAAATTAAATAGATAAAATTAAATAGAGTAAAACAACTGCAGGATATGATTCAAATCCATAGCTTCTACTGTTTAGAAATTAGCTCATGAATTTTATGAAATTAATGTACTAGCTGTATTTCATTTCTAAAATGTTTTTCTTTAATATTTCATACTGTACGTTTTCAAGTTACTAAAATAATAAACCTAGTGCACTATTTATTTCTTGTAAACAAAGTAATAAAATCACATTACAATTAAACAATTTATTTCATAAAGTTCAAGTTCATTTATTTATAGAGCACATTTAAAAGCAGTCACAAGACTGACTGAATATAAAAACAGAAATAAAGCTAGAGAAACGTCTGTAAAATGTAGCAGTAGAAAGGACAATTAAAATAATCTCAAAAGCCAAGCTAAGGATGTATATTTTAAGAAGTGATTTGAAAATGGATAATAGTGGAGCCATTCTAATCTCAAGGGGCAAAGTGTTCCACAACCAAGGACCCGCCAAAGGAAAATTCTGATCACTTGACATAAGAGATCTCAGGGGAGTGTAAAAATGAAGCAGCTCTGAGAGATGGGATGGGGCTAGATTATGGAGGGATTTATTTACCAGTAAAAGCACTTTAAATCAATTCTGAATTGGACAGGCAGCCAATGAGGTCCTCTTAGAAGAGGGGGAATGTGGTCATGTTTTCTGCTATTACAAATAAATCTAGCAGCAGCATTTTGGACCAACTGAAGGCGAGAAACCTGGGATTTTGACATGCCACAGTAATGTGCATTGCAGTAGTCTAACCGTGATGTAATAACAGCATGGACAGCCTTCTCTAGAGTGGTGGGATTTAAAAAGTGTTTACCTTTAGACAGCAAACGTAGCCAAAAACTGGAGCCAATAACCGAACTGATCTGTTTGTCTAGTTTCAATGACTCATCAAGGATTTTAATAAAGATTTTCATATTTTCCCATTTTCCCAGAGAAGGGTTGTGGCAGGAAGGGCATCTGCTGCGTAAAAACGTGATGGATAGGTTGGCGGTTCATTCCGCTGTGGTGACCCCGGATTAATAAATGGACAAAGCCGAAAAGAAAATGAATGAATATTTCCCCATTTTTGACCACAAACAACACAAGTGTGACTATTTTAGCTTTTTTAGCAACATTTTATCACCAAATTATTCAAATTCAAAGTACACATCATTCAAAAATACATTTTAAAACATTAATGTTAAATTCCATGAAATTTTATTATTGAACATTAGAGGTATGATTTAATAAAAACTTTACAATAATCAATTCAGATACTCCAAAATCAGATTCAAAAATGACAATTAAGACCAATTTTCATTCCACATTCATACTGTCATGTGCAAGACAGGGAATATGGGCATTAATAATCCATAAGCATCCTCTTCACTGGATTAAAACAATTACAGAAAAAAAACAGATGGTGCAATGTTGAAGTGTTGTCAGTCCTCTTCACTATAACCCACCAGCTTTGCACTTATTTCCCACAATCGCAGGGCGGCGAGATCGTCTTTACCTTCAGGAGCTGGTTCCTTCAGCGCACAGTCACTGTAAACACATCTCAGTGTCATTCAGTGCAAAGCATGAGCATGTTATTTTGGCATTTTATAAATCACTACAAATCAAAACATCTGTTATTCTGCTCAAATGTAAGTTCTGACTGCATTTTATTTATTTATTATTATTGTAAGGAATGTTATCAGGCCTTTAAATAATAAAACAAACATTAACATACATAACATTTAGCTCAAACTCATACCTAAAAACCCAGTTAATCCGCTGAGAATTTTCGTGTGGGCTTTTGATGTCTATATTTCCCAATAAAATTTATAAAATGAGAATATATTCAGATGAGGTCATAATTATTAGCCCCCTTTGATTAGTTTTTTTGTAAATGTTTCCCAAATTATGTTTAACGGAGCAAGGGAATTTTCACAGTATGTCTGATGATATTTTTTCTTCTGGAGAAAGTCTTGTTTGTTTTATTTTGTCTAGAATGAAAGCAGTTTTTATTTTTTTTAAACATTTTAAGGTCAAAATTATTAGCCCCTTTAAGCTATATATTTTTTCGAAAGTCTACAGAACAAACCATCGTTATACAATAACTTGTCTAATTACCCTAACCTGCCTAGTTCACCTAATTAACCTAGTCAAGCCTTAAAATGGCACTTTGAGCTGTATAGAAGTGTTTTGAAAAAGATCTAGTCAAATATTATGTACTGTCATCATGGCAAAGATAAAATAAATCAGTTATTAGAGATGAGTTATTAAACTATTATGTTTAGAAACATGTTGAAGAAATCTGCTCTCCGTTAAACAGAAATTGAGGAAAAAAAAACAGCGGGCTAATAACTCAGGAATTATTATCCCCCCTGAATTATTACCCCCCCTGTTTATTTTTGTTGTCTATGCTGTCTATGCTAATGAGGGTGTGATCGTCACTAGTGGGCGGGGCTTATCCCCTCTGATGACATGTACGAAGGGAAAATGTCAATCAAAGTGTTTCTGCGGACTGTTTATCAAGTGTCATTATAAAAACTGGAATTCATTATTTGATACCATGAACATATTTTTGCCATATTCACACACTGTTGCCACACAACTGTGTTTAAACCCCTTACAAAAGCGATTTTTGCAAAATAGGTCCCCTTTACAATCAATTAAATTAAATACTAAATTAAAAAGTAAATACATTTACAACTCTTCATTTTTACCAGTGTAATCTGTAGTCGTATACCTGAAATAGCAGCCGCTGTGAATCTCCAGACCATCAGCCGTGGCGCAGTAGATGGACGTCTGAGCACCTTGATAGGGTGTTTTCATGAGTAGCAGAGCAGGAATAGAAAGCAGGCCGCTGAGCAAAGGGTGTCGTGTCTGCACGTATCGCCCCAGTTCAGTACGGATCACTCCAGGGTGAAGAGAGAACACTGACACACCAGAGCCTGAGTTAAAGCACAGAGCAATTAAACAAGTCTGATGCAGTAATTAGTTATTTAAAGCTGTTTCTGTGTTTCTGCTGGACTGGAATTGAGCGCACAAACCTTTAATCCTTCTGGCTAACTCTCGAGTGAACAGCAGGTTGGCGAGTTTGCTCTGCCGGTAGCTCACCAATGAATCGTACGGTGCTTTGTTGAAGTTAAGATCATCAAAGTGGATCTTTCCTGTAGGAAAGAGCATCAGATGGGAATATTTAGTATGAATAAGAGCAGGCTCATGCATGTCAGAATGGAAAAGAGATGCACAATAGATTATCATGTTGGGTTAAAAATCAGGGGACACCACAGTAGATTTACGCAGCGGATGCCCTTCCAGCCACAGTACTTGGAAACACCCATACACGCTCACGCACACACTGGGTTGTAGCTGGAAGGGCTAGATTACTGTAATTCCCTTCCGTTTGGCCTCTCTAAAAAAACTCTTTATAAATTACAACTGGTACAAAACGCTGCAGCCCGCAATATCACAAAAACCCCCTCTGTCTTCACTGGCTTCCCATTCTTTTCAGAATTAATTATAAAATACTTCTCACTTTTAAAGCCATCCACAATCTCTCTCCTCCATACCTTGCTAATCTTGTTCATCTCGCCACACCTCGAACACTCAGGTCTTCTTCCTCCATTCACCTCACTATTCCCTCTGTCCGCCTTGTCACCATGGGGAGCAGATCTTTCAGCCACTCTGCTCCTCAGCTATTGTATTCACTCCCTCATGATCTCCGTAATTTAGACTCTCTTTTTTTAATTTAAAGAGCCCCTATTGTGGGTTTTTGAAAATGAGCTTCCATGTTGTGTGTAACACAGATCTAAGTGAAGTGAAATATCCAGCTAAGGCTTAAATCTGAAAGTGGACAGTTTTTAAAACTATTGATTCATCTAATAAAAGAGTCGACTCATAGTGGTTAGAATGAATCGTCTTCATAACGAGTCTTTAGCCGTTTTGGTATGACGTGACTACGAAACATAGATGTTTTGGGCGCAAACCCGGAAATAATTTAAACCAGCGCCCCGTCCACTAACACAGCAGCGTAGACAAACAGATCCTGAAGTCATGAGTGAAGAAGACACTGTGCCTACCTGGATATTATTGGAAATGTGAGGGGAAATAATTGATTCAGCAGTCTACACGCTTACAGTGGGCGATTCATTTGTTTGTTAAAGGAAGGATCAGAAAAGACTGGTGTATGAGACTTGTGAGAATGGGCAGACAATACACCAGGGGTGCGTGCAAAATAAGGCCAGTTTATTAGGCACAAAGGCAGTCTACTACACACTGAGGAGGAGCGCTACAACCCCCTGGCTGGGGATGGGATCTTTGGGCAAAGCAGAGTACAGGTAAGCCCTGAGAACATATAACACTTCACGCAAGAGGTGCCACAGCAATGATTGCAAATAGAAATGATCTAAGTTACAGCTGAGAAGGGAGAAAAGCTCGGTCACGGAAATCATGCTCAGTAAATGATGTGCATGCTATCGGTTTCATTTTCACTGCTAAGTGCGGGTCATACTTCCCGTGCGGGGGGTTATGACGCTCACGGGGTTATCGCGCGGAGGGGGCTTGACAAACCACGCTGGGCATTTGTCTAGCGCTGAACGCTGTCGACCAATCGCAACAGGCTGTCATCGGTCCAATCAGCGCAGATTAGCTTCGCGCTAAGGAGGAGTTTGGAAACAAATGAATCGCTGGACCATTCATATGGGAGTCGCTGAGGTAATTGGGTAAAAATAAATGCAGATTATAAGACCATGAAAGTGTTTTTTGACCTTGCATGCATATCAGTATGTTGTTGGATATCCATATAACCGAAATATGACCCTTTTTCATGTATAATGTGGGCTCTTTTAATCCAAACTCAAAACACATCTGTTTAAAACAGCCTATTCACTTTAACCTGACTGCATTTTTAAAGTTTGTATTGTTTTCTATTGACTTTTATTGTGTTTTTATCTGAATTTATTGTTCTAGCTGTCCTGTAGGGTGGCCTTAAGTGTCATGAAAGGCGCCTTTAAATAAAATGCATTGATTTTATTATTGACTAAATAAAGCTGGAAATAAACACTATGGTTTTATGCAAAGGCTGTTACATGCAAAACTAAAAAGCTCCGGTTATTGGGTGCTTTTTACCTCCTTTGTGAGTAATACTGGACACATTAATAACTCGACTAGGACTGGACTTCTTCAGCATGTCCAGAAGCAGAACAGTCAGCAGAAAATGGCCCAAATGATTGACAGCAAACTGGGTTTCATAGCCATCCTCCGTCAGGCTCTTAGGGCACATCATCACTCCTGATACAACAATGAGTTTATTTACACAAAAGCATGAAATGATTCAAAATACAGCTAAAAGCATTGAAATAATGGTCAAAGTTCTCACCAGCATTGTTAATAAGTATATCTAGCCGATCCTCAGTAGCCGTGTATTGATGTGCAAACTGGCGTACGGAGTGTAGAGATGCCAGGTTTAGGTGGCGAACTACTATGTCTGCGTTTCCTGTAGATCTGCGAATTTCAGCCGCAGCCTTTTCTGCTTTTGAAAGATCTCGACAAGCCATCACAACCCGAGCTCCTGAAAATAAAGCAGGATATATACAGCTGAAGTCAAAATTATTAGCTCTCCTGTGAATCTTTCAAATATTTCCTGAAAGATGTTTAACAGCAACCTCTTATTCACCTCTCCTGGCCATGTCACGCGCTGTTTCTTTACCAATGCCAGTGTTGGAACCAGTAATGACCACAGTTTTGCCATCCAGACGCACACGGCAGCGGCAAACTCCACCTGAAATCCATCTCCTCAGAAGAAGCAAACCTGATTTTGAGGAAAACACAGTCACACTTTACAATAAGTGACATATATATATTAATTCATTTATTTTCTTTTCAGCTTAGTCCCTTTATTATTCACAGCGGAATGAACCGCCAACTTATCCAGCATATGTTTTATGCTGCAAACCATCACTGGGAAACCTTCCAGTCATTCACACACACACACACACACACAATATGGACGATTTAAATTGCACAGTTCACCCATACCACATTTTAGGACTTGTGGGGGAAACCGGAGCACCCGGAGGAAACCCACGCCAACACAGAGAGAACATGCAAGCTCCACACAGATGCCAACTGACCCAGCTGGGGCTCGAACCAGCGACCTTCTTGCTGTGAGACGATTGTGCTACCCACTGCGCCACCGTGCTGCCCCAGTTCAACATTTACTAATGCATTACTAATCATAAACGTAATTACAGGGTACATACACGATTTAAAGACTGAAATTCAATACCTTTTAAGACTATTTTTAAGACTCTTTGCATACATTTTAAGACCTCATCACCACTTCAGGTTTCAACCAGTAACATTGCCGACATTTTAACTTGTAGTATTTTTACTAAATACTGATTCCAAGAAACAAATAATAAACTAAAACTGTATTTATATACAGAATAAAAATGTTAATCCAGTAGGTGGCGCCTTTACAACAGCGGGAATAACGGTGTTTTTTTTTCTGGTTACTGCCCTAAACAAAGCAGTGTGATGTCTAATCTAGCAGGATTTGTTTGATTTCATAAACTACACAGCATCACAATATTTGAAAACTAAATTCAAGCAAACTTTAGCATAGTGATACAAAATTTAATAGCTTTTAAAATAGCATTTAATACTTTTTAATACTTAATTTTTTTTTTAGTTCAGTCATACGAATTTGTACGATTTTAAAAAGGAGGCGTGGCACCTAACCCCACCCCTAAACCCAACCATCATTGGGGGATGAGCAAGTCGTACTAAATTGTACGAATTACATCGTACAAATTTATTCGAATTAGCCACTAAATCAAAAAGTTACGAATTGATTTTGTTGTCAGTTTGGCAAGCCATTTTCATAAAAATAATTTAGAATTACAATAAAACACCAGCAAAATTTTCCATACTGCTCTTTCGTTTGCATAAAGTCTTGACATTTTTAAATTGTTTAAATTCTAGATTCACAGACAATATTTCAAGTATGTGGCTAAGAAATAGCTATTAACATTTTTTTTTTGGTGGGCAAGTAAAAATCTCACTGGCCCGATAGGCCGAGTAGAAAAAAATCCATAGCGTTGAATCCTGTATATATTAAAATATTTAAAAAAATACAAATAATTAAATATAGAAAAAATGATTCCACTCAGACTGGATTATCCAGATCAGGTGAACCAAATACCTTTAGAGCCACTTTAAGCTCTACTGTGCTGGCATTTTCCTCTATTATAATACACCTAAAAGCAACTAAATTGACTGAAATGTTGTTTTTGCTCACCAAAAGTTACAGATGTATGAAAAGACATCGCATGACTTACTAATAGCTGTGACCGCAGTAACTGTGCCGTATTTGGCGAGGCGATTTGACTTGAGTTCATCCCACAATTGCAAGACTGAAGAGAAATTCATGTCATCCGCTTCGGTGCTCTCTCAGCTCTGCATTCATTTTATTTTCTGCCGTAATGCTAAATCATTTTCTTTGTTTATGAAAAAATCTGTTGTTCCACCCTCACGGCCGCCATCAAGTTCACACAACTAAGCTCACACAACTAAGCTCTACATTTAAGGCTGGGTTAAGGTTTTATAAGGCGATTAAGTCAAGATCACGTTAGAATCTATGGCTTATGGTCAGGCAGAAATGAGACTAACAAAAAAGCATCAAAACAACTTCCTGCTTTAAGAATAATTATAATTTGCATTAGAAAACAACAGCATACAGGAGTTTTGTATTTAAAAGGAGATTATATTTGTGCTATAAAGCATCTGAAAGCAAACAAATTATCTTATTTTTACTGCTAGAGTATGTGGCCTATATATTGACATATTTGACACTATTTTGGTGATTTTAAATGCTTGTCAGTATAAGAAGTTTGGCTATGTATAGACGTGAAGTCAAATTTAAAAATGGAATATGGTATTACATCTTAATCTGTTGTTATAAACCCATGAGAGTTCACTGGATGATAGTAAATGAATGGCAGTAACTGGGTCAAAGGCAAAATAGGGCATCAAAACAATGAGTAAGACTTTATATCTTTCTATATTTATATTTTTGTCTTAATTTTATATTTTTTATCATCCATTTTGCCATGTTTTACAGAAGACTGACAATAAAATGTCATGCAGTGTGAATAAAGTTTAGTTTGTTTCCATTACAATATTTTTAAATTGGTTAAATGCAGTTTCGTCAACGCGGTGGCGCAGTGGGTAGTGCTGTTGCCTTACAGCAAGAAGGTCACTGGTTCAAGCCTTGGCTGTGTCAGTTGGCATTTCTTTGTGGAGTTTGCATGTTCTCCCCATGTTCATGTGGGTTTCCTCCAGCTGCTCCGGTTTCCCCCACAAGTCCAAAGACATGCGCTATAGGTGAATTGAGTAAGCTAAAATAGTCTGTAGTGTATGTGTGAATGAGTGTGTATGGATGTTTCCCAGTGATGGATTGCATCCGAAAGGGCATCCGCTGCGTATAAAATATGCTGGAAAAGTTGGCGGTTCACTCCGTTGTGAAGACCACAGATTAATAAAGTGACTAAGCCGAAAAGAAAATGAAAATCATTGAATTAATGAATGAATAAATGCAGTTTCTGCCCTGCTGAAAAAAACAGCATATTCTTGTAAGTTGTAAGGTATGTTTTGAATGATGCTGGTATGTTGGTCTTGCTAGTCTCAATGCTGGTTTCAATGCATGTTTTGCTGGTCTCAATGCTGTTCTTGCTGGTTTCAGTTCTGTTCTTGCTGGTCTCAGTGGTCCTGACCAGCATTAAGACCAGCATTAAAACCAGCAAGACCAGCATTGAAATCCACATACCAGCATCAAATCATATTTCCAGCACATGCTGTTTTTTTTCAGCAGGGTGGGATTTCACTTTTATCAGTCATTTAACAGAATGAATAAACTATTTCAGTGCTTATGTTTTTCTTTGTAGCCATCATTATATTAGCTTATTAACGTTATTTATTTTGATGAAAAAAAACACTTCAATATTTCAAATAATTTTTAGATGTTTTCCTTCTAATATCTTCGTTATCTTAAAGCTCATTTTAAGAGTCACTTTTACTTTTATATTTCATTCAGTACAGTTTTACTCTTTTGCTTTGTTTGTAGATTGTTTATTTAAACAATATAGCATAACATTAAGCCATAGGTTTACCCTATGCCTATAAAAAAACATGCAAGTAAACAACAAAGTAAACTTCTTGTTAAAAATAGGCTTATGATAACATGGAGACCAGGCGTCCCGTTTTATACAAAAAAATCATGTTTTTTCAGGTATTTTTATCTTACCTAAATTACAGCGCGCACTGGCTTAGCAGTTAGCAGTCCTCTGAGGCGAAAATAGGGTTATCAATTGTAGCCAATCCTGGCATAGCAAATATTGAGGAACAAAATTATCATCCAATCACATTTCTGCTTGGATCAAGCTGTGGTTAGTGAAGGCGGGACCTGCGCCATCTGGCATCAGTGAAGTGTAATCTTAGCATAATAAAAACATGATTAATATTGGTCTATACAGGTATTGGTCTGCTCTTCCAAAATTCCTATTAACCCTTGGTCTGTTCAAATTTACCTCTTGTTAGGGACGCATCAAGGTAAACTGCGCAAAGGTCACTCACACACTCACAGACACACACACTTTAATCTGCTGTTATACTCCATATAACTTCATTTAAATCCAAAACTAAGCTTTTTTGAACAGACGTATTTAAAAGGTTATTGATGCCAACTGATGAGCTGTGAAAATTACAAATTGTACCTTTTCCGAACAGGGAAAACCACCAACAATCAGAAATGCATTATTATATGCTGTCATGGTTTTGCAATCAAAAACGTGGTTGTAATGGAAGTAAATGGGGCAAAAACAAACAGTAAATTAGGGAAAACATTTGTAAATCGCTGCACAAAAACTAACAGGCAATGCTGTACTAATTTTTCTCGTCCAAGACTGATAAAAGCTTTAAAAATATAGTCCACAACTACTTTTAAATAAGTGTATTTTTTTTTCCAAATTAGTGACATAATTTATAAATTTTGCAATTAAAGAATAAAAATCCTGTAATTTAAAAAAAAAAACATATAGTAGTTTTGATCTGGACAGAGGTTGATTAACAGATTTATGCAAAAAAAATGAAAAGAAGAAAATAATCTGATGCATTTTTACAGCAGTTTAATTTAGTCGATGTTTTCATCCTGAACATATCAAAAGCATAGTATATTTTCACAGAGTGTATTGTTAAGGTTTTTTTTTTATTCAAAGCATTTTCTCAAAATGTGTGTCAAAATAAGATCTGTCAACACATATCATTCCACTAGCTGAAACACAGAAAAGGTTATGGCCAATTTAAGACTTAAAAGCACCCGAGTGAATGAAAACATCCCCAACAGCACAAAGGGCTAATCAAGGTCAACTGTATCATTTTAAGAGTTCAGTTTCATTGATCTATATGTGGTTCAGATGCAAAAGCCTCTTATAGTGCCACCTGAATTTTTTTTAAATAATCTTTTTCTCTCTCATGTTGAGTTATTTCACTTTAAAGGGAATGGAATTATTTAATCCCCATATGATGACTTACACACAGCCTGGAGAAAATGCTTATTCTTTAGCAGGAAAAATCAGAAGGGTTTTTGCAAGTATTAATTGTTTAAACAAATTATACACCATTATATCTTACAATTTTAAATTAAAATGACAATTATGACAAAGAACATGCACACAATACCATATAATGGACAGAAAGGCATTGGAAAGCTGCTTTGTTTTGAACTGTTGTTTGGATTTGATCTGGCATCTGTTGGTTTGTTACTGTTAGGAGTAGAACAATTAAAAGCTACTTTTGTGATCTTCAGTGAACATCGACAACTCTTTAATTTACCTGTATCATGCGGTGTTTATAATGCCAGCGTTTAGCTTTGTATTTGCACAACTGTCTGAGTGTCTTATTACTCCCTTCTGCAAAAGAGAGACATCACAATATACAGCACAAGAGGAGAATCTTCCAGAGGCACAATCGACAACTGAGGCCTTCACTTCCGTGTATAGAGACAGAAAATGCAAGAATAGACATCTCAGAGTACCTAAAAGAGAGATAAAGATGGAGAAAAATCTCAAACCTGAGCGAGTTCCAGCCAAATCCTGCCTTTTGATGCCAAATGAGGGAGATCTTCCAGAGCTGCCAAGTGTTTCTGAACTTTTGATTATACCAGCCATGAACTTCAAACACCTACTGCCAGTGATGAAACCATCAGAGTCGCCTGCTACTGAAGATCCAAATGAAGGCTTTCCAAGCTCTATTATTCAAATGGCTCCATGTCTTACTTCATCATCTTATCAAGCCTTTCCTTTTCAACCATCTTCATCATCAGTGGATCCAATTGTGAGTTCCACTCCTTCATCTGATGAAGTTGTTTTGCGTCCTCAATCGTCCACTTCCCAGTTTGCTCTCGAATCAGACCTCATTATTATCGACTTTGAAAATGAAAAGATTGAACATGTGGAGCAGTCTATGTGTTCCTGTAGCCTCCTAAGGTCTGAATACCCTCAAATGCTGAAGACCGAAATGAAAAAAAGGAGTCCAATGGCTGCAAGGATGGAGGTAACGTTACAGAAGAAAGAAGCATGGGCTAGTAAAAAGCTGGAGGACCAAAAATGTGAGTTTAGAGACACCACTCAGAAAAAGAAGGCAGATGAATTCATTGAAAACTGTATACAGCCCTTCTGCATAACTCCTCCTGATGATCTCAAGGACAAGTCCAATGTGAAAAAGCCTTGGAGTAAAAGAAATGCTCTGTTCAGCTGGTTAGAGAAGTTCAAGAAAAAGGAGAAGAAACAGATGGAGCAATGAGAACGATGCTGCAACACAATCTGAAACCAACACCATTTTATGTTTCTTCAGCTTTATTTGTTTAAAAGGGACAGTGCTTATTAATTGATAATAACAAAACTGTGAATGAGTCAAAGTATTCATCTGGATCAGCAAACACATCCACAACTAGAGCTGCGTCAAATGCAGATCTCTGCCCAAAATGTCTTCCTTCATCATACTGGACATTACCGTCTGTTAGTAAAAAACTGTGCAGCAGACTGACATTAAAAAACTGCATTTAAGATAACAAAGGATACTTTGTCACTTATTTCAGCAAGAAACTTTACTCAGTAGATGTAGCAACCTTAATATGACCACTTATTGTTTTATTTATTTAATAAGAATCGTCCATAATAAGTATTTTTTTCATAAATGCATCTTTTATGCTTGTGGCTTAAGTTTCTATAAGGTAGCCATCAACAAATAGATTTCAAAGATGTTTAAAATGACTTGAAACGAGACTTATGTTTGCAAAAAAAATGATGTATAGTAGAAAAATGTATATTATCTTAGTCAAAACCAGCCATTTAAAAATGCCCTCGGCTTTAGGATGAAGCCTTATATAAACATGATTTTTGTTGCCTATCTAAATGTTAAAATAATAACTGTATAAAGTTTTTAAATATCAGAACTGTGTTGTTGAAAAACACAATATTCTAATTAAATCGTACGCCTAAATAAGCCATTTCTTTCGAGGAACTTTTGCACAAAGAAAACTTTGTCAGTAACACATTGCTGATTTCTAAACCTCGGGCGCCATCTTTGATCCCGTGAAGGCAAAATGGGGGAAACAATACGAAAAGAAAACGATTGAGCGGGAATGTATTAGTTATTACACTAGGATATCAAACTAAAATCGGTTAGAAAACGCTATTTTTCTCGACGTTCACGTTCAGTTTGTGGCGTTTACTCCGCGGTAGCGGATTTGGATTACTCCACTATGTAGCCGGCCAAGCTAATGGCTTTGCATACTGTTTACCTTCAATAAACACTGCCGCGATGTGACGAGCAAATCGGTGCAGAAAAAAAACACGAAAGAGTGCCATTATAAGGTGCCAACACAAATGCACAGTAATCCCAACAAACACACAACGTTGCCTCAACGTAGCGACCTTCCTACAACGTTGTACCAACCTTGCAAAAAGGTTGAGGATTCTACGTTGTTGCTAAACGTTGTCACAACGATGTCATAAGGTTGCCATTTAAACATCACGAGGGCCGCATACTTTAGGTTGTGCTTAGGTGGCGTGGACAACCACTGTACAACATTTACTGGTCACAGCTGAATCAGTTTAAATTTCAACAAGCCGTCGTCTCATTCATCAACGACCGAGGAGACGTGAGTATTGCTTTATTTCTTCTTGCTAAATAAGATACGTAAATCGTGAATATTCAAACAAACCTACGATTTCGACAACAATCTGTTCCAACATTACACACACACACAAAAGCCGTAATGAAGTTATTACGAGCGAGTAACATTTCAGCATTCCGTTCACGGACGGCGACAACATTAAAATCATTATGTTAAATCTCTCGATAAAACATTTCCTGATTATTTACCTACGCCTAGTCTTTAGTCAAATGGAAAATAATGTTTTTAAAGTTCAGTTTTTTCCATATCCATCGTGATCAGTCAGTATGATACTTCATCACACGAGCCGACCCACTATTTACAAAACACACAAAATAACTTTTAAATACAAAACACCTCTGTGCAGATTGCGTCCCGTTAATGGGACAGTTCACTCAAAAATGATATGTACTCACGAATTATTTGCCCTGTAAATAATAAGTGATTCCAAACCTTTAAGTTTCTTTATTCTATTGAACACTAAAGACTGTAAGCATTTGCTTTCATAGTAAGAAAACACTAATTAAATAGTTACAGTTTTCCAGCTTTATTTAATACATCTTCTTTATTGTTTAGCAGAAAAAAAGCTAAATAAGTTTGGAACAAATAAAGGATGAGGCTAAAATGGCAGAATTGTCAGTTTTGGTTGAGCTATCTCTATAAGTTAAAGTATGTAAGTTGATGTTCATATGCCTAATTAATATAGATAGTAATTAAAAGGTCTGCTAGTCTAAATTTCTATTTTGATTGATCTTTTGATGTTTTATTTAAAACCCACTCTTTTCTTTGCTCAGCAGGCTATTTTCACATGGAGGTAATCTTCTATTGATAATTTCTGGATTTTAATTATGTGCAAGTTGCATGAAACTCTATTGTTTAACCACTCACTGTTGTTTGCAAATTACTCGTGTAACTTGTCTTTCAGAATGTTTTCAGCTGTTGAATTCACCTCAGATCAGTGTTGCTGTAATTCCCGATCTATGGAAAGAATAATTGGATGAGGTAAGAAGTATACTACTCTATTTACTATCATAATAAATGTAGTATTGTTACCTAAAACAGCATGTTCATAATGTGGAAAATAGATCATGCTTATGAAAAATTACTTTATTATTTTGTACAGCTGTTATTGAAATGACACTAATTTTAACATTCCATTTACAGCGAGCAACGCCACAACTACAGGGCCTCTTCTTTCTCTTCTCATAATTTAAGTAAGTATTGGGAGACTAACTCTGACTTCTGTTAACTCAAACCTGTTTTCCCTGTATCTCTAAATTTATTTAATTGTATGTAATTTTGGTATATGATATATTATTAAAGCATTAAAATAAAGTAGGCTACATAATTACTCACTGGAGATTTTATATGTAATGAAATTACAATAAATGTCTGAAATTTCAATAACTTGCTAGTCATATTCGTTTCCATCTGTCCTCTCTTGTTCACTGCCTATTTTGACTTGTGTCTGCTGTGGATCTCTGAAGCTGGATTATCTGTTGAATTTGTTTCTTCCTCTGACTGCTTTCTCCATACCAACAACTATGCCTGGTCTTCAGCTGCGCTCCCTGGTCTGCTGTATTCTCCAGTCCAGAGCTTCACTGCCCAGTGTCTGAATTTAAATTTATATATTTATATATATATATATATATATATAATCTAAACTTTATACTGTTTGTTTATAATTAGATTTGTACTGTATGTATCAAATGTTGTGAAATATATAATAAAAAGTTTGATTATATTCATTTGTGTTATTTTTACACTTTAAAGTTTACACATGCAGTTGTTAAATTAAATAGGAAAAATAATTGAACAATATTTCATATTAAGCAATACTGGAAAAGAATTGCTGCTTATCCTGTATTCTAGGCAGTAATGATAAACTGCCACAAAAAATATTAATACAAGTAGTAAGAACGCCGCCTCGCGGTTGCTGAATGTCGCACGACAACGTTGCTACAGCCTTCTCACGTCTTACATTTCTACGTTGTGACAATGTAGCGAGCACGTAAGCGGCAACGTTGCCTTTGAAAAAATACAACATTGTGCAGACATCGCTACAACGTAAATGTGTTTGTTGGGATACTATTTCACAGTAGATGCTAATTAAATAGTAAAAAAAGAAATTATAATAATATTAAACATCGGAAGTTATAATACATGCACATTTCTATATCATATGTCATATTTAGTGCAACACTGACCCATCGCCTGCAGTTATATTAACCATAATTTTTTCTACTTTATTAAAATATGAAAATTATGATGATTAGCCCGCCTTTCCCACAAAGATCGCAGCCAATCAGTGAGCAGGAAAACACTCGTGGAAGTGACGTTTTTAAATGTTTCGCCTACCAGCGCGAGCAAAGAGGGAAAAGCGTCTGCAGAACAGGGATCATTGTTTTTCCGTGATGGCAAAGCCCGCGAAGAGTTAAAGCAAAATACGCATTAATAATCTGAATCATATCTAGGCAGATCTGTGCATGAGGTAAGACTTTTCTTCTTTTTTGCCAGGAAACAATGCATCATTGTGTATAAAGAACTTGTTAAAAGTTGTGCAGGTAAATGCTAGCGCCTGTAGCTATGCATATACAGCTGCACGGGTTGGCTGGATTCATTCACATGCAGTTAGCAGGGCGGGCTAACATTAGCCTCGCGAACGCGCTCCGACGAAGGATCGGGAACGTGCGTTTGTTATGAGCCGTGTTTATTATGACAGTTATGTAGCAGTAGTTCACTTTAAATTTGAATAATAAAGCTTTTGTTATTAACCTATTTTTGTTGATTGCTTCATATTCATAAGTGTAAATTTTCCAACAAAAACATCTGTTTTACTTTGTTTTATAAGGAACTGAAAAATTACTTTTGTGCTATTCAGCATAGTGCTTATAGAAAGGCCATTAAAACCGCCCATCTGTGCTGTAGTTTCAACAAACTTAGTTAATTATTTATACTCTTGTATTTTTTTATTTACTTTTTGGACTGTTATTATTATTTACCTTCTATCACCCTGTCATTATTTTGTTTACTATGTCATGTATGTTTAAAGCATAATAATAATTTAAAAATGTAGGACACTTTATCAGAAAGTATGACAGAAATAAAGTGTTTTAACTTTTGAGTTCCAAAGTAAAATAAAATAAAATGTATATAATTTTTTTTTACAAGCGTTTTTAATTAGATTAATGATGGCTAATACACGCACGCACACACACACACACACACACACACACACACACACACACACACATATATATATATATATATATATATATATATATATATATATATATATATATATATATATGTATGTATATATATATATGTATGTGTATATATATATATATATATACAACTATATGTTGACATAATTTACACCAAAGTTGTGCAAGACTTTGTTTAATAAGCTTTTTATGTATATACGTCTATTTTGAATATTTCATGCAGACACAAACATGTTTTATCCTCTATATAATACAATTTGTTGAGGAAAATCTGCCATTTTTCATACTTAAATGATAAAATAAATACTTTTTCCAAGATTAGTTATTGGTATTTATAAGCTGCAATGCATATATCAAAATAAATTTAAATGCTTTCCTGCTTATTACTGTTAATATTATTAGTGTTATTATTCATTCATTGTTTTTCTTTTCGGCTTAGTCCCTTTAGTCCCCCATATGTTTACACAGCATATGCTATTCCAGCCGCAACCCATCCATACACACTCATTCACATGCGCACACACACACTACAGTCAATTAAAGCAAACCCAATTCACCTGTACTAAATGTCTTGTGGGGTAAACCAGAGCACCCAGAGGAAACCCATGCGAACACGGGGAAAACATACAAACTCCACACAGAAATGCCAACTGACCCAGGCGAGGATCAAACCAGCGACCATTTTGCAGTGCTACCCACTGCGCCACCACGTCGCCAGTGTTATTATTCTCTTTAAATATTAAGTGATGTCAATGAATGTGTACCTTCATTTACAGAAACATGGCAGATTCTGATCTTTATATGCAATGTGATGAAGACGAACTAGAGCCATGCCAGAGTGTTACAGAAAGCAGGGGCCAGCGATTGAACAAAGGTAAATAGAAAATTAAAAGTCTTTAAAATACATTTTTGCAAGAAATTGTTTTATCTTGTTCAAATAAAAGTGATTTAGAAGACTTTGAAGTGTTTCATATGAAACATTTATCGTAATCATACTGCATTGTACATGTAACGACTAAGTAATTATGACTTTTTGTTTATTCGCTTTTTTTATTAGTTACTGTAGTCCCAAGCGTCATTAATGCACAGATATCACCACAGCCTAATGGCGCCTCTACTGATCAGACATCAGCTGCTTTTGGACTCCCAAATCAAGCTGTGCCTTTGGCTTCTGGTAAGAAAACAAGCACACACTCCAATAGGGTAGATGCACACAGACATTTAATTTTCTGTCAGCTAGCTCAAGTGCTTCTGATGAACTGTCGCACCACTACAAAATCACTGCATTGAGGATCTGTTTACTTTAAAAATCAGTGATCTTCGCTGCCTGATTGAAATAAGATGTAACATGGGTCTCAGAACGGACAAGAACCACTGCATTAACTTGTAGTGTTCTGTGCCATATCTTTAAAATAGTGAAAAATAATTACCCCGGTATTTTCAATAGAGTTTCTGCACTCGCCTGTAGGGTTGTAACAATATACCGGTATGACGGTCTACCACGATTTGAACGTGCACGATTATCATACCATGAACAATTGCATATCAACGGTTTTAACCCTTAAAGACCGAGACAGCCACCCGCGGCTAAAAATAAGTATTGCTTTTAAATGTTTAATAACTTTTGATCCGCTGATCCGATTCATACAATTCAAAGATTGGCATGAAGAAGAGAATCTCAGCTTTCCAGTGCTGTATCACATAACACAGAGGCTCCGGAATCAGTGCGGTTACGTCATCAAAATTTGACCACGCTGATTTGACAAAGAAACGCTCGTCACTGTGTCTCCGGACAAACCAGACATGATACATTGATGCATTGTCCCTCCTCCATGCCCAGATTGGTTCAAACTCGCTATATCACAACCAATAAGCATAGGTTTCGCTTTTGTTTGTGGACCAACACTGAGCTTTTTGAACAACACGGAATGAGAGATAGGCATACATTTATGCGTGGCTAAATAAAACGCAAAAAAAAAAGTTTTGCATGAAATGATTCTCATACTAAGTACTTTTGCATGCACAGCAGCACAGAAACATGACAAAACAGTGACACAGCAAAGACAAACTGCTGCTCTTGCTGTTTTCAAAAGAAGCAAATGAAGGTGCAGCTGTTGGTCTGCATTGCAGACAACCATATCCAAATCCACAGACAACCATATCCATGCTGGCACATAAAACCTAAGGATGTTCCATATTGAATCTAGTTTCGTTATGTAACTATTTATAGTATAGTAAATATTTATATCTATTTTTTTTTTTACTGAGGATTTGCACCATGTTTATTTGGACGTTATTTGGACTTTGACACATTATTTATTATTTTCTTATTTTTATTTGTTCATTGTAAGTGGTGTTGTTTATAGTAACTAAAAATATATTATTTGGAAAAAGTCAAATTTGCTTCACTGTTCTATTATTTTGTAACATTTGTAACATACCGTATACCGCGAAACCTTCAAACCGTGGTATTGTTTTAGACGATTATCATACCGTAAAAAATTCATACCGTTACAACCCTACTAGCCTGCTGCTCCTGTTAGTGCTTGCGTTTAAATGCTCTTTCGTCTTGTTTTACACATGAACTACTAAATAAATGCTTAAGTCTGTTCAACCGATTGTATTTTATTTACATTACAACATTGATGTTGTAAAAGGAACCTTATGAAACTGAAAAAGTTGCATTACCCTTTCACGTGAAGTTTATCGGTGGCTAAAAACACTTGCTGTTCATACAGCCCAGGGATGTCCAGACTCAATCCTGGAGGGCCGGTGTCCGGTGTTGTGAGCAAAATTAAGTGCACACAGCATGCCATATCATCTGATAATTGCAGGAAATAATTTTGAAAAGCAACTGACTGTGTAAAGCCACATAAAACAAAACAAATTTACAATGTATATGCCGAGTTCAGCGGCTAATCAGCCGGAATCAGCTGATGTGAAATGACGGCGACAAAATATAACCTAATATAAAGGAAACAAATGAGTTATAAATAAATTCACCCCCCTCACAGTTGTCATGAAGGTTAATATTAGCTGTATGAACCAAAATTGTGACTTGTACCAGGCTGTAAACACCTTTTTTTCTGTTGTAAAGTTGGCCATTTTAACAGTGGGCTCAATAGAAAGCTGCTCTATTATGTAGCCAGGACTAGTGGAATTTCCATGAATTGCAGATTCAGTTACTTCCATATTTGCTTCACAAGGGAGAGCGGGAGGTTGCTGCTTGGAAGAAACACTAGCTGTGCATATACCCTATTGACTTTCCAAATAGGATTTTACAACCTTCTTTACTTGTACTGACACCTAGTGGTCATTATTAAGCACACTAAAGATAGCTGTCTAAAAAGACGGTTTTACATTTGTTTTACCTCTAGCTCCTGCTGTTACACTCCTGCCTAATGCAGTCCAGACAGGTGGAGCAGCGGGACAAACTATCTACTTCAGTGCGCAGGTTTGACTTTTTTGTTTAGCTATTCATGTTTCTGTGTAAAAGTTGCATTTTGAAATGTTTTACATTTTGCACAAAGACAAATAAAACACTTGTTTTCATGCAAATGATCAGTAATGATATACTAATTTCAAAATGTGTGTTATTCAACTATGTGCTTAAAATATGTGGAGATGTTCAGACCGTCAGAAATATATTAAAGTGATGTTATGCTGTTTCAGCCTAACTCAGGTCAACCTCTGGCCGGCTCAATGAATTTGGGAACATACTTCTTGAATGGACAGCCTGTTAGTTTTGTGACTGCTGGTAAGTCGTGACTAAAATCAGCGATTCAATTGTACACTCACTCCTAGACACATTTTGTAAAATGCATTGCTGTTTTTAAAGTTAGCATGAAATGGAAATTCATCAGTGCTGTATTTATGATTAATGGTGACAGATCATGTACAAAATATTTATTAAGTTATTTTTTTATTTAATAATTAAGTTATTTACATGTAATATGCACAGATGCATGTGTATACTTAAAAATGTTTACAAATAATTTTGTTTAAAAGTGTTTTATATATAAATGGGATTAAATATTTTATACATGTGTATATGCATATCTATATGGGTGTTTATATATATATATATATATATATATATATATATATATATATATATATATATATATATATATATATATATATATATATAAATGAGCATTTTCTATCAGGCTCCTCTGATTAGGTTCAGAAGTTCCATTTTATATGTAATGATAAGATTAATAGCTGGTAAATAAAATAGCTTTTTTCATAAATGTTACTTTAGACAATTCTTTGGTGTTTAACAAGGTAGATTTTCTTTTGCATCAAAACCAGCTAAATCCACGTCTGCTTTGTATGCAAAAACCTCTAAATCCACATAATGGGACAAGATAGTATAATTAGTTGAAAATCACTAAAGATGCAATTAGAGATTATTTTACCAAACATAAAACACATTACATTGCATCACTTATGCATGTTTAATAAAACAATTTGTTTAATAAACAATGCTTGCATCTTAAAATCTATTCAGCAGCCTATGTATGAACAAGCCTCATATTTTTGTCTTTTGAATAATCTGTAACACTCAAATGCATCTACTTTTATTTAATTAAATACACTCAAATGCACCTTAACATCGTTAATGCATAAGTACTCATCAAAATAAATCATGTAAAAAAAATCTAGGTGAAAAGATGTTAAATAAGATCCATTTTTGTAAAAACTGAACAACATACTATGACTTGTAGTTAAAAAAATAAAAAGACGAACATATTCAGATAATATAAATTTATTTTGTTTTGAATAATTCAAAATGATTTGCTGACAAATGGATCAAACTTGAAAAGTGGTCGGAGGGATAGTGGGAAAATAGAAATGTTTTAAATGACTTGTGTTTTAGGAATGCACTGTGACCCTTATAGTGTGCAAGCATCTGCAGTGTTTCAGAAAACCATCATTGTGCATTTTTAGCGCTTATTTTACTGAAATAACCTCTTCAGGTCAGACACCCCAGTTGATTGCTCCGCGGATGGTTACTCCAGGGAGTGCACAGCAAACAGCCCCTGGAAAAGTCTCCACTATGCAGATGCCGGTCGCACTAACCCTCAACAGCCCCTCGAACCTGCAAAGCATCACCCCAGCGGCTCCAGGAGTGAACGCTCGTAACGTCACACCCTCCAACATCCTACCAGCCACAGCACCAGGTCACAATTTAAGCGTTTTATACACACAATCGAGGCATTTTACATTCTTAAGTTATTTAAAAATCCTAGGGATAGTCATAAGCTGCGTCCCAAATCGCATACCTATGCACTATTCTACACCATTTTGTAGTATAAATAGTGAAAGTAGTGCATTCACACTGAAAACTTTAAAAATAATAAGTGCACTTTAATTACCCGGATTATGCACTCATTCAGCCGCTAAAAGGAAGTGTGGACCGATGGACGCTTCACGCACTCAACGACCGCAGGTTTGTTTACGTAGCGGAAGGGGCGGAGCGGACGCACATGTTGGATAACTTTATTTATTTTGGATGGTGAAAGCAAAATTCTCCTACGAGAGTGATTATAGCGCCTCCCGATGGTAAATGCGGTTATACTCACGGCAGGTATTATTTGATATTTGGTCGTTTATTTCACTGATTTGGCAACCGTCAAACGTCATCAGGGAAACGGTTTGAATTTCCGCTTAGTAAAAAAACATTAGTGGGCCATTTGGGACAACACTACATACATATACTACCCTGTTGAGTTTGTAAGTGCATAAGTACATAGTGCATGAGTGCATAGTGTGCCATTTGGGACGCAGTCTTTGTCATATCACCCAGTACTAACTAGTGTCTTTACTTTTTTAGAATCAATGATAAAAGTAGTAACGGTTACATTAATAAATGCTGTCAATATTAACTGATAGAATATATTGTGATTCATTTCATTATCAAGATATGACTTGATTTGTATCATTATACCTGATTTTTGTCATATTAATCCGTTCTAACTATTATCTATCCTTTATTGTTTGCTTTTTTAGGATCAATAATAAAAGTAATCAAGTTTATGAAGTATCCTGGAGCTCCTGGATCTGCTGGGCAAGTGATGAGTTCAGTAGCTCAGCCCAGCCAGCCGATGTCCATCCAGAACAGTATAACACACCAAACTCCAGTGTCGATCCTGCCTGCTGGGATTGCTCAGACCCTTATGCCTCAAATGCAGATATTGGCTCCTGCTCCTGGCACAGCGAGTAATGGTCAGAACGTTTTTCAGATTTATTTTCTTAATCCTTGTGTTTTTTAGATCTCATTTTATTAGATTGGTGGTGGTAGTGGTGTTTTAGAGATTGACTTAAAGTCTCTGTGAACGAGAAGTTGCTGAGACTTTTTCAGTGTGTTGATGTACTTCCAACTGAAATGGAATATTAAGGGGCGGAGCTTTATTTTTACGCATCATTCCCTCATAGCAAAGACCCGGTAAGAGGGCGTGGTTTCGAATATTGTGCTGACGTGTCAAACTGATGTCAACGGAGACTCTAAACACAGAAGTACATTTGATTAAGACTTAGATTAAAGATTGCCGAAACGAACCTTTTTTTTCGGATGCATAGATTAATTGTTCACCTAAAGAATAACAAAGTGCCCTAACAAAAAAAAGCCTTGTGACTAAATAAAGGGCACCAATATGATCGTGGACACCAATGTGCAAAACGGCAAGTGCAAATGCGTCATTTTTGAAGAAACGCCTGAGGCCCGTTTTTTTTTTTACCTGAAAACTTCTCCACCAATCAGATCTCCACTTTTGTTCACGTGCACAGAGCTGCAGAAGTTACAGTAAACAGCACTTGGAGGCGCTCGAGTGCAAAACTGTCAATGCGAGCGCACATTATTGAAGATGCGCAGAGGTGATATGAACGTGGAGCTGCTTATTGCACTGGTGAACAATATTCATTTCTTCATCGCTAAAGCTGCTACCTGAACCATCCATGCTTGTTCGAATCGCCATTAACTTTAACAACAAGTGTGTCAACTTTCTGTCATCTACTTCTGTGTTACAAGTGGGTGTTACAAGTTGAATAGCGCCATCTAACGTCAAGGAGTGATTTTGCATTCTCTTCTGCTCGACGCCAGTGAAAATCGCTTGGGTTTGAATCCGGAAAAACGTCTCAAACGCTGACGATAAACGCAAATGAAAAGCATCTTGGTGTGTACGAGCCTTTAAGTTTGATTTCACATAGACTTTAAGGTTTTTATTAAGGGATAGTCCACCCAACGATAAAAATTTACTCCCTATTTACTTTCCAAGTGGCTTCAAACCTTTGAAAATAATCAATAATAAGTCAATCGGTCTCCTGGTTCTAAAATTGCAGATTTTCAGTTTCCAAAATAAGTTTCAGTTTTGGGTGAACTATCCTTTAATGCAATTAAAGAGACAGTTCACTCAAAAATTAAAATTTCCAACTTTTCTAGTGGAGATGTGCTGAATTTGTTAACTATCGTAATATTACGCATGCAGAAATGTTCAGGTTGCTTGCTTTGCATTTAAAAAAAAAAACATCTTGACTGTGTGAAAAACAATGACTGTGTGATAAAGACTATTATATTAGGCCCGTTTACACTGTCAGGTCTTGATAGACCTTAATGCTGATTTGTTGCCTATATCTGACTTTTTTGCCTGTCCAATTACACGTTCTTATAATTGTGTCTCATATACGATTCATGTGTTTACACTAGGCATACAATTTCTGACGACGCACATGTGTAAATGCGGGTTCTAGCACCTGCGCCACACTAGCCAGGATGGAAGAATTTGTCTTGCTTTTATTTCTGAGTTCGCCCAACTTTAAAATGTTTTTGAGGAGGAGGCGTAAGAAAGGGCTGTCATCACAGCTTGCGCCTGTGGTTTATATGTGGTGTCCTCTACCATTCAGAGGTATTTGTGGGTGTGAGAGAGATCTCAGGTCTTGTGGGAGCAAATTGCTTTCAAAAAACTTTCCTCCTCCATGTTTTTTCTGTTGTCCTGTTGTCGGCAGCATCTCCACACACGCTCTTCCTTCTACGTCATTAAACCTTGGAGAAGTACCACGTTGTCACAAGTTTAATAACGTACAAAACGAAATGCCTCAATAAATCCGTTCTGCCCGTTTACATGATAGTCACATTGTCACATATGAAGGAGGCCTGAAACCAATCTCTGAATATGTGAAAGCATGCTTTTTTTTTCATGTTTACATGGTCATAGAACAGATTTAATCTGTCACATATGAGCACAAAATCGAAATTGGGTCACATTTAACTGGCAGTGTAAACGGGGCTTTATAGTTAAAATGACAGCAGAATTCAAGTTATGGAAGCAAGTATATCTCTGTATGGATTTGTTTATTTATTCCACAAGATAGCATTTGATTCAGTAACGTCAGAATGAAAACAATTGGAAACCATAGACGCTTTTCACAAGACTGTTATGACACGTTTTACAGTCATCATAATCTTAAATCCCTCAAAGTTTTTAATATTTTAATCAATGATTTTAAATAAAATCGTATGAACATTTCAATGCACTTATGAATGTATTATATCATCTTTGTATCAAATTACAAAAAAAAAAATAATAATTAGCGCCTATGCGAGGTGTAATGCAGCGTCTAAATTTGTCTTACAGCACTGAAAAGAACCTCCAGTTCATCAACTTTCTGTCCTCGCTGTAAAGCTGTTTACCAAAAGAGTCTACCCCTCCGTGGATATTTCTGTGTAAGTTTTCATCCACACCCTTCTTCTAAGATTATATGCGTACAGACTTACCTATTTTAAGTCTTTATACTCATGTTCATTCATCTTTTTCCAGCAATGCAGTCAAGAACTTATCAAAAGCATCTGGAGCCTGAAATCCCACACTAAAAACAGGCTCAGAGCCCGCTCAAAAAGGCCCCCGCGTGACACACCCGCCTCCTCTGCATCTTCAAAAACCTCTCAGAAAGACGTCACTTCTTGCGAGTTGCCTGAGGGAGCACCTAACCCTCGCTCTGGAGATTTTGACGAACAGGGCAGAATGATCATGCTGGTTGAAGACTTCTTCTATGGTCAACACCCTGGCCGGCCTGCAGATGTCAGATATCCATGGGAGCACATTTCAATGAAATGCCATCTTTGTTCCAAGAAGTTAATAGGCAACATTGAGTAAGTTAGTTTTTGGGTTGCTTTTTGAACAGTTATTACAGTTCTATAATGGTTAATAAAACTAAGGGCCCTATCATACACTCGGCGCAATGTGGCGCAAAAGTCTTTTGCTAGTTTCAGCTTGGCGCAAGAGTCGTTTTGAGGCGTTGCGCTACGCTGTTTAAATAGCAAATGCATTAGCGCTCATTTGTGCGCCCATAGGTGTTCTGGTCTAAAAAGGAAGGCGTTCTGAGGTGCAATGCTGGCGCGTCGCTATTTTGAGAAACTAAAATAGATTTTTCATTAGACCAAAACAAACCCGGTCTAAACTCCAGCGCAGAGGAGTGACTCGCTCACACACTGCTTAATACACACAAGAGAGCAATAGGCAAATATCTCTACATATAAAAAAATGTAAATATTAAGGATATATATAGGGTATAATAAGAATAGATATAGGATATAAATATAAAGGATTAAAATATTACAAAACATTATTTTCTAGCCTACATAAATATGAAAAATCACTGCTTTTATGTCTTCTTCATCTTGGGAGGCTTTTTCAGTTCATTCATAACAATTTGCTTTTGTATAATGTTATTATTATTAGCAGAATTATTTATTATATCCATATTTATATTTGTTTTACTAAAAACAAGCTTAGATTTGCCCACCTGCAGGTTTTAGACCATATGGGGCACAGCATGTGTTTTAGGATATAACTCAGGTTTTTGAGCACATTTTGTTATTATTATTCATTTATTTGTTTGCTGGAAATTAGAACTGAATTTAGAAATAGTTTTGAAACGAATATTTGCACTTAACAAACGCAATTAATTATTTATAGACTAATTGATGTCTGTGCGTAAAGGTTTCCCTATCCAAGAGCGAAAGTGAAAGTAGATCGATTATCTCTCATTCTCACGCAGTAAATGCTCTGTTTAACAGTTTTCTGTAAAAAAAAAAACTGAACTGTTTGCTAGTGAAATGCTCCGTTTTTCCACTTAGACTTGCTTTACGTTCTGTAAATAGCGAATGCGCTTATGGTGCGACACAGCTGGCTCTTAAAGGTAATGGGAGATGAGACTCTAATTAGTTTATGCTCAAAACACACCTATAACTCATTAAGAAAATAAACTCAACCCTTTTAGACCATGCGCCACGGCGAAAAGCGGATTTCCTGTCCTTAAATTAGCAAAAATGCGTTCTGACACGCCCTGAAAGCGTTTGCGGCCTGCGTTTTGCTCTCTGCGCATGGATCGTCAAAATAGAGCCCTAAGAGTGCTTTCACACCATTAGATCAATTCTTTTCTTTCGAAACAGGGATTAAAATGGTTCTTGGTCCTCGCTTTCACACGGCAAAGTTTCTAAATGGACCAAAATAGCTAAAACAAGTCACGTGCGAGTAAACTCTCCTCACATTAGACACAGTTTCAAGGTTTACTTTTCTCGCTCATGCGTCCTTATTTTAATATTATGACGATGAGCAATAAGACATTAAAAGCGAAAGGGTGCACTTTCATTTTGAATAAAGACAACAACAGACATCCTCACTGAATTTAAATCAGAGGCTTTCTCATACATAGCGAATCAATTTTCCTAATGGATAAACAGCTCTCGTTAATAGTTCAGCTTGCTTTCACTTTCGTATTTAACAAGAAAGCACATTTAGCGATAGCAATGATGACATCCTGACCTACTCGTAATTCTCTCTTTATATAGCCGTATGTATGTCTATGACATATCCATAATACACTGTGATGTAGTCTGGTTCAGTAGTTAGTGTTGCTTTCTCACTACAATCGATCCACTCCAGAGTTTTTTTTTAGGTGGTTTCGGACTGATTGTTTTGGTGCAGATCCCAGCATGACTGCTGAATTTACATATGACAAACGAACTGCACTAACTGGGGAAACGCATCAGGTTTTGAAACAAAAGTATAGGTGTGAAAGCACCTTTATGGCCCATTTCCACTGAGTGGTACGGTTCTATTCGGTTTGCTTTTATGGTCATTTCCACTGTCAAAGAGTACCTAAAAGCGAACCGTACCATACCACTTTTTGGTCACCCTTTGCAAAGGGGTTCCTAGCACGAAAAAAGAGTACCAAAAGGCAGTGCTAAAAGAAAGAGAGAGAAAGCAAAGGAACCGCCATTTTTAAAAACACAGCCGAGACATTACACCGTAATAATATATACATATAATAACAAGCTATGGTCGACCCGAGCTCAAAAAAACCTTTTCATCGTCTTGATGAACAGCCGCAAAGCCAAGAAGAACAAATTATGCCATGTCCTGTTGTTGTTTTATGAGCCCATCTAAAAGTGCAAGCGGTTTCACTTTCTCTAGAGAACTTGCCATGCATCCATTATTGAAATAACGAATTTCTTGAGCTCCTATTAATAAGGTGCGCGTGACTATTGAAGCGTGTCTGATATCCGATATTTTCAGAAAGGGACAAACGCAAGAGTGAAGCGCGAAAAAATAAAGCAGAAGCCGGAAAAAGCAGCAGCAATGCTTTCTGCAACATAACATGAGCAAACTGCCATATTTATCATCGCTTTTTAGACTTTTGTGAACTCAGAATGACAGAATTACTTTCTAAAAAGTCGTTACTTGACACAGATGAGAGCTCTGCTCTGACTGTGGGCTGTATTTCATGTTGTTTATGAACCCAAATAAGGCCTTAATGTATGCTGTGTGTAGTTCTTCTCTGTAGTTGGTAACATATCGAAGATTGTAAGGGTCTGTATGTGTTCATATGTTGCATTTATTTATTTTATATAATTGCAGACAATGCAGTAGACTATTTTGCACTGTTATTGATCTGCAGTTATAATTAAAATATGTTCATAGAAAGTTAGTAATGAACATTTATACACAAGTGTTTGTGTATAAAGCATCTGTTTTGTGAGAAGTGCATCTCGTATGATATGTGAATGACCCGTACAGATTTATTGTGACATTTCCTTGAGTAAAAATGATGAACTTTCTATCGTACACCACTATTGGTACCCTTTTGGCAGTGGAAATGGACGCCTAATAAAGCTGACCTGTACCGTACTGTACCTCTCTGTGGAAATGGGCCATAAGACCCCTCTCCTCTCCCCACCTTACCACACAACAACCTTTGATAACTATAAATTTTGAGTGTGCCTCACACAGGTAAGTGGCCTTAACAAACCACCTGTAAAAACATACTCATTCACCTCACTGACACATTAATTGACACTGTATTTATGAAGTTTGCTGTTTTGGGATTGACAAACCACCTGTAGAAACGCTTTCTTTCCCTTTCTCTCTCTAGCACTCTGTTCTCTGAGCACAAACAAGTTCCTTTATATAACTAGCACTTCTTGTGTGCATTGCCTCTTCTTGTTGAATTGCTGAATGCCTCCTCAATTGTAATTTTCTTTGGAAAACAGCATGTGGTAACTGGCTAAATGTTATTGGTATTGAGAGGTTTTACATTATTTTTATTCCCTATTTTAAAGGATGATGAACCATATGAAACACCACATGGAGCGGGATTGCCGAACAGGGGAAGTGGACTGTCATACTGTATGTCAACACTGCTACAGAAACTTCTCAACGCCTTTCGGTCTGCAATGTCACGTCGAGGCCGTCCATATTCAAGCAGAGTCCTCAAGTGAGTTCGTACTACTAGAGTAGTATTACATATGTTTGTTGAGAACAAGCTAGTTCTAGTTGATCATTTGGAAAAGTGTCAGAAGGTAGATTTTTACAATGAATCATCTGTTGAACTGCATCCCAATCATCATTAGTATTATTAGATAAAAATAATAATAATAATTAATAATAGTTACATAAAAAAACAACATGCATGTCTTTTGACCCCTAGGGTGATTACATTATATTAAAGACACAGCAAGAGTGTCAGAGGCAGCAGATTGAATTTATGGCACTAAGTTAAATTTTTACGACACTCGCATGCATTAAAAATAAATACAGGCCACAGCTGAACATGGAGGATGATCTCTGAATGGCGCTCTCCAAAATCAAATGAGAAATAGACTTGGGCCTTATTGGTGTGTGTGCTGTTGCATGCAAGACTTGTATATGTATAACCACCTCAGAGGATATTGGGGCTCGCGAGTCACTGGCATTGTTATTTTGGGGGTCGCAGGCTGAACAGTTTGGAAACCCCTATTGTAGTACACCCTCAAAAGTACATCTAGACCAGGCATGTCCAACTCGGTCCTGGAGGGCCGGTGTCCTGCAAAGTTTAATTCCAACCCCAATCAGACACACCTGGGCTACCTAATCAAGCTCTTACTAGGCTTTCTACAAACATCCTTGCAGGTGTGTTGAGGCAAGTTGGAGCTAAAATCTACAGGACACCGGCCCTCCAGGGCTGAGTTTGGACACCCCTGATCTAGACTTTGTTAAAGACCACTATAGGACCCCTTTAAAGCAAATTCACACAAAATATGAATAATTTACAGAGAAATATTTCAATAAACATTTGTTTTTTTATGCTTTTGAGCTAAGAAGACAGAAACTCAGATTTTTTAGAGCTAAAAATTAGAATTAGATTTCTTGAAATCTTTTTTTACATTAAGTGTCTCCTTTATCATGTAGACAAGTATCTAATTGATATTGTTTCAGTTACTTGCTTAAAATTAATTAACTAAAAATGCTTCACTTGATTTTTCTCAGCTCCACACTGTTTTTCAATGTTTGACTGTTGGCATATTAATCTAAAACGTTTAATTCTGTTGAACAGAGGTGTGCAAGATCTGTGAATGCTTGTTTGAGAGCGAACCCCTCTTTCTGAACCACATGAAACACGTGCACAAGCCTGGCGAGATGCCCTACGTGTGTAAGGTAAGTCATGCTTCATTGCATTCCTATTAACAAAAACTGCTTCGTCTTAAAAACATTTGATGAAAGTGAATCACTCTTGTGTTTTCCAACCTCAGGTGTGTGACTTCCGCTCCTCTTTCTACAAAGATGTTATGAACCACTTCACGGAGCACCACAAGGACACCTGCATCTTATTGTGTGTGTACTGCCTAAAAATATTTAGGTCTTGTGGCGGATTTCAGTTGCACTACACTAGACATCAGGTAAACAATGTGCTTGGCATTATCAGTATTATTTAATGCTTGTATATTTGTGTTTTGTATGTAAAGGTGTGTGTTTATTTATTCAGAAAAAAGGAGCACGAAATTGTGATAAATGCCGACTTCAGTTCTGCTCGGAAAAGGACGAGTGGCACCACAAACAAAGGTTTCACAGGACTTATGTCAAGCCCAAGCAATTGGAGGGCCTCGTGCCTGGTACTAGGGTAAGAGACTTTTGATATGTTTTAAAGGGGATCTGTTATGCAAAAATCACTTTTATAAGAGCTTGTGTGGCAGCGGTATGTTCATATATCCAGCCTCTTATTGTAAAAACGGATTAATTATGTTTTATAATCACACTTCATGAAAACAGTCTGCAGAAACACATTGATTTGACATTCTCCCTTTGTACATGTCAGCAGAGGGGGAAAACTCCGCCCATTAGTGATGATCTCTCCCTCATTAGCATAAATATAGCCTGAGTGACAAGCAGCCATCTGCCATCAGAGTTTTGAATCTGCCACTATGCTGACACATTGGGATTTGTAGCTACGTCCTCTTTTACAAAGAGCACAGTCTCATTTAAATTTAAAGCGACAGTCACCAAAATGGCACAGTGTGGATCAAGGCCTAAAAGGGGCACACAAAAAAAGGCCTAAAAGGGGTAAAAGACCAGCGACGTGATGATCCCAAGGTTTCCATATCCGGGACCTGTCTGTTTCCTGAGCAGCTGCTGCACCGGTCATGGAGGAGTGGAGAACATGAGACTGATTCCAGTGACGCTCCAGGGACAGACGAATCTTCGCTGAGGCCAGCTTCCAGCCTCCACTGCTAAGACTGCAGCTCTGCACAAAACTTTTGGCCAGGGGAGAAATTAAAATGGTCTTGCTGAACTAAGTCTGGTTTCTCTCAAGGTTTTTTTTCTTCACTCGCCTCGGTGAAGGTTTTTTTCCCTCTCCGCTGTCGCCACTGGCTTGCATGGTTTGGGATCAGTAGAGCTACCCATCGATGAATTTGCTCTTCAGTGTTTGGACTCTCAGTAATGACTTTAAACCACACTGAACTGAGCTAAACTGAACTGAACTTAAACACTAAAAACTGAACTACTCTGTTCCGATTACTATGACCATTTATGTGAAGCTGCTTTGACACAATCTACATTGTAAAAGCGCTATACAAATAAAGCTGAATTGAATTTAATTGAAAGTTTAAAAAGTTATCGAGCATTATTTATGTTGTATTTTGAGCTGAAACTTTACATGCACACTCTAAGGACATCATAGACTTATTTTACATCTCGTAAGAAAGGATGTTATAGGTCCTCTTTAAACTTCAGGTATAATGTTTATTGCTGGTTTCATGGCCTTAACATTTCCCTCATGTCTGCTTCAGATAATCATCCGAGCTTATGCTGACAATACGGACAACAGAGCTCAGTTTGGAGAACCTCCAGTGGAGCCTTGCCCAAATACCACATCAACACCTGACCAATCTCAAAATGTCCACAGCAAAATCGTTCCTGTGAAGAAAAAGCCGGTGGAAAGTATGGTGGAGCTGATGGTCAAGTTTGAGAGCAATTTGTGAGTTTTTTTGGGCATCCAGTTGTGCTGTATGCTATACACTTTTAACTTTGTTTTAAAGTCAATGTGGACCAGACGTTGCTGAGAATTACAACACAGAGAAACACAATGACTGTTTACATAGACATCATTAATCAAATTATTTTCCAAATCGACTTTACCTGCACTTTGAGTCTTTCATTTTCATTCAGGAACATTTCATGCATGTTCCTTGTGACACACAAGGATAGAATGTTTCATACCGCACGCTCTATAAGTGAAAAAAACCCCTCCGCATTTCCCAGTAACTTAGATATACTCGGTAGGTAGCGTCTGAAAGCTGTATGTGTATAGACCATCCTGTCACAAAATGCAGCAAAAATTCTACACGACAGTAAGAATTTGATTTCGGTGTTTACATGTTTACATTAGGAGAGCAGCATTTACAGCTGATATTTCAGCCCATAATATTGTAGTGATATTAACGCATAGTACACTTAGTAAATAAATAATTTTGACAAAGGTCTGTCTTTAAACACTGAAAGAGTACTGCTGACAATTCTGACTAACTTTGCCATCTGAATAAACCAACAAAGACCACTGATCGCTCACTTATCAGATCTGTAGAGACAGGACAATCAACACCAACTGGAGCCGCGTCTTTTTTTAAAAGGAGACAAGTGGCAAATCCGGATTTCACCATTTCCAGATGCGAAAAGCTCTCGGGTAAAAATATTTCTTACAAACATATTTCTGTCGCGTGCACTGTAATCCACACACGAGTCCAGCTGCACTCTCATAGTGGGGAAACAAAACTTTTGTTGCAGAACATTAATAAAAGCAACACGGTCGACCCGTGTCTCTAAACAATTCTTCTTCTTCCACTTGTTTTGGCAACACAACGTAGCCTCTCTATGCTGCCTGAACACTAACAGGTATAAACAGTCTTGGAAGCTGTCAGGCATATTAAGTTGCGCCTCCTATATAATAGAGTGCGCTGATTGGTTTGAACCAAGTCTATCTCATGAATTAATGCTGAAAGCTCAAAGACGTCACGTTCTACTGGCCAGTACAGACAGCTAGTCTCCACGCTGGAATTCATACAAGGATCTAATAGGCGTGACGCAGCTTCAAAAATTATTTTCAAACTGGAAGAAAGAATTTGCTCGACTGTTTTTGTGAAATATGAGTCCTAATAGTTGTTTTTAGCAACGTGGGGCACATATATGACTGTCAACAGCTCAAAAATGTATTTTGGTGTTTCGTGGCAGATTCCCATGTTTTCTCCATATTATTGAAAGCGCCTGAGATTTGGATATAAGTGAAGTTTTTAAACTAATTTCGAGAGGAGCACGTGATATAATTGACTGCAGCTGGCCACCTATCTACACTCATTAGTTAGCCAATCAGATCTATCCTAACTCACTATAAGTAGCCTAGCTAGATATTACTCCCTTATCTTCGTTTTCCGAAGAAACCCCCCATCCACCCCCTCAGGATTTTCTCCCGGGACAGCATGCCAAACCTGCTTACAGTTGTCAAGCAATATCTAAGTGTGAACTCTTGAAATAAAACTAATTATTTGACCTCTTCAAATTTGTTTTAGCATTGTAATACACTAAAACAATACTATACTAATCTTCTGGCATTGTCATTGACTATTCTTCCAGCAACCCAAAAGAAAAAAAATACTACTGTATGGAATGCAACCATGATATTCCATATTTTTCCAACCATTTCCCCACCTATGTGAGCTGCTCACTCTGCCGATACTGTACCTGCTGTTCCAGAGCCTATGCCAATCACATGATCAGGTAAAGATTTTCACATTTGTACAGTCTGTAAGGTAGTGTTTGATTTTTAATAGACTTTCATGCCTTCCTCTTTTTTCATTACAGTGTGCATGTCCCTCGCAAGAGCACCAAGAAATATATTACCCTATACAAACCCTGCCCAAAGTAGGACATGATTTTTTAAGAATTTTCTTTCATCATGTATTATGCATGTAATATTACTTTAATCATGATAAAAATGTTTGCAGGAAGGGCCGTCTAAGTTGTACCAAATGTAAGTTCAATACTACGATTGGAGATTCGATGGCCAAACATCTCGCTAACTTTCCGAAACATCAAGCAAGCCGAAGCACCATTCAGGGTAAGTTTTTAAGTTCTGACAAAATAACAGGGACTATAGATGAGGAGTCTTTTAATACCAATAATAGTAATAATAATGCTAATAAAATTCTTTATGTTTCAGAGGGATTTTCACAAGGCTATAAAAGGTAAGCTAATTTTGCATTGTAAGTTTTAATGGGATTCAGTTTTTTATTTTCTCACCATCATGCCATTCCAAACCTGTTTTAGTAACATAAAAACATTGTCTAAAGCAGGGGTGCTCAAACTCAGTCCTGGAGGATGGTGTCCTGCAGAGTTTAGCTCCAACTTGCCTCAATATACCTGCCTGGACATTTCTAGCAAGCCTACTAAGAGCTTGATTAGCTATCCCAGGTGTGTCTGTTTAGGGCTGGATCTAAACTATGCAGGACAGCGGCCCTTCAGGAGTTTGGGCACCCCTGGTCTAAAAGAACAAAACACTTTGACAATCCACATGAGATTATTAATATGCTTGCTCCAGCCACATTTCCTAATGATATTACTACAATTCTTAAAAAATGTTAGTTCAGCACACAGGTGTCAAACTCCGCTCTGCAAAGTTTAGTTCTGACCCTAATTAAACATACCTGATCAAACTAATTGAGTCCTTCAGGCTTGTTTGAAACCTATTGGTAAAGCTGCAGTCACACTAGAGTTTGTGCGTGCGAAATTCTGTCGTACAGCGCTGCGAAAAGGGAAAGGATTAAACAAGATGATTAGACATTTAAAAAGCGAGTGATTGGACTATGTTTTAAATACCTGTCCAGAGAGGTCATGTTTTGATCCTCGATTGGTCTCATGCAGTCACATGATGCGATTTCGCAGGTCAGAATTCACAAAGCTTGAACTTTCCAATGCAGCGAACTGCGAAAGTTGCCAAACGAGCTTGCATTTCTGGTCTGACGCATTTGTGTGTGCACCTCTCAAAAAATGTTGCAACGACGTGTAGCGCAAGCTCTGTGATTGGTCAGCTTGGTAGCACTGACGAGTCTGGGCGGGACCGATAGCTGCGCGAGCCCGATAAAGCCATTTGTTCACAAGCGTGGAGTCCCGTAAAGAAGCTCAGGATGTAAAGTTTTGTTTTGTCTTTACCTTATGTTTAAAGTTGTTGCACGTCCGCCGGTTCCTGCCTCAAAATGAGCAAGTTTGAGCCACTTGTACATTCAGGAAGCGTTCAGAAAAAACAAAACACCAGCAAAGAAACGTGACACAGAGGAACGTTAACACCTCACTGCCAACTAGCGTTTCGTAAGTGTTAATGCAGACCAACAGAAACAGCACGCAGAAGTATAAATGCACAGCTACACGTGTTGCATGCGCCGTGGGTTACATCGGTCACTTAACGCAGAAGTATAAACCAGGCTTTAGTTTAACATGTATATTTGTAATGAGGCAACAAACGCATGTAAACTGCTGTATATAAACGTTTAATGCACGTTTATGCATTGTGTCATATCACTCAGCTCTTTACTGTGATTTTGCTACAATCAAAAGACAACAAGAATCTATTTATGAGATGGTTGACATTGATTCTTGACTGTTTACGTGTGTGTGTGTGTAATACAAATTTCTTAATACATCTCTGTCGAATCTTATTGTCAAGTATAATTATAATTCAGCCTGTATTTCATCCACAACACAACTTAAAATAGGTTGCTCTGGAGGCTTAAAGGTAGCTCACCTATGCATTATTATTAGCTAAAATAAAACTCTACAACTTCAGTTGAAAAGATTGTCATTTACAAACACATCTCCTCAATTGTTATTGTATTTATAAGTATTTTAGACAACTACAGAATGATTATATTGCGCATATTTCAGAGTACATCGTAGAGCTCATAAATATTCCCAGCTGTTCCAAATACGGTCAAAACCAACCATATTATTCATTCATTTTCCTGGGTCGCCACAGCGAAATGAACCGCTAACTATTCCAGCATATGTTTTACGCAGCTGCAACCCAGTTCTGGGAAACACTCACATACTTTCACATTCACACAAACACTCATACACTACGGCCAATTTAGTCCATCCCATTCACCTGTAGCGCATGTCTTTGGAATGTGGGGGAAACTAGAGCACCCGGAGGAAACTCACTCCAACATGGGGAGAACATGCAAATCCACACAAAATGCCAACCGGCCCAGTTGGGATTTGAACCAGCAACCTTCTTTCTGTGAGGGCGACAGTGCTAACCACTGAGCCACCCAACCATATCATATTAGGGCAAATTCCTAGGGTTGGAGTTGACTTCTGAAACCAAAAAGCTAAATCTTTACCTACTGACCTAAGCCAAACCATTTGTATCAGTGCATTCCTCCTTCAGGTCCAATGTTGTCAAAGCAGTCCAAAATTTGTTTCATTCTATCCCCTCTTAGACTTTTCATTCTAATAAACCAGCTTGAGATTGTCAGACTCTTGTTTCGGCTTATGAGGTAACTTCTGAATGAATGCCCTTGCAGGTTTGTCTTCATCCCAACCAACCTACTCCGAGGAGGCCAGAGACTCAACAACACGGGCTTTTTGCATTTGCAAGTCAAGCAAGTGGACAGGAGTTCCTCAATACCCCTTCTTCAACCCAGTTACACAATAACGCTCCCTGCCAGCCCCGCTCGCATGCCACCCCTACCCATCCAGGCTCAGCCCACAGAAAAAAGCAAGGTCAGGCCAATAGCTCCAAAGCCAGCTTTACACTCGCTCACTGCTGCTCAGAATAAAGTTGTGCTGTACGCCCTATGCTGTGGCGTCCCTCAAGCTGCCATTCACTTCAATAAGCCACCAGAGGAAGTTCACTCGCTGCTTTTGAAACGCCAAACTGTGGTTGAACCATCAAAAGGCAAATACTTCTTGACACCGCAGGCAGCGGATAAGCTAATTCAATGGGTTTACTGCCAACGTGAGCAACAGCTACCAATCAGCGAAGCTAACTTGTTGGAATTCATGTACAATCATGGTTCGCGAGACTTCTCTTACGATTCGGTGGTTGATTTCTTCCTACGCCATGATCTGGGCTTGCAGGCGTTTGCAACATCCAGCAAGTTGCCGCCATTACATTGCCAGCAGCTAGAGCGCTCCTTTAGCAGCTTTCTAAAAGAGCAAGTCAACTCGCAAGCATTTAGTCTGTCCTCAATTGGCTCCATGGACGAGCTGTCCGTCTTTGTGGATTTGGAGAAGCTGGTGGATTCAACATCCATGATGTCCGCTTTTAAACTGATAGGCACCACAGAACCAACCATAGATGTTGTGTTTACAGCATTAGCTGATGGGAACTTGTTATCCGTCATGCTTTTTGTCAAAAGCGAGCCTCCTACGCTTGATGCACATTCATTGTCGGACTCTGTCATCCTGGAGGCTCGACCTGAAGGCTTCACAAATGAGGAACGCCTTCAAGTTTGGATTGACAAAGTGTGGAGTCCATATGTTAACCCAAGTTCTGGTGGCAAAGGGTTATTAATGATGGACCTCTACAAAGGCCACACGTCCAATGAGTTCTTGGCAGCGCTTAATCGCGTTAATACTCTTCCAGGATTGGTCCCGCATGGTTGCTCTCGCCGCCTACAGCCGCTGGAAGTGTGTATGGGGCCGGTGTTGCGCGAGTTCATGCAGGCTAGCTGGACTGAACTTGTCACGAAGGCACCACAGGAATTGGTTGGAGCCAAACCGGCTGACCTCGCCATTATAATCGCTCGCTGGCTTACAGAAGTTCTGGATGTGCTTAAAGCAGAGCCCAAACATCTCTTCCGCTCTTTCGATTGGATATTGAGCACGAATGAATCCTCAGAGGAACCTGCGGAGCTCATGCGGAGTCTCACCGAAGCTCTGCTCGCCAGTAAATTGCAAGGAGATAAAGTTGAGGAGCAGAAAGCCGAGACCTCCAGCGTCGTTTCTGCAGAATCCTGGCCCTCTCCGCAGTCCAGCATACTCGCATTGAAAAAGATCTTCGAGAAGGACAGTGATGTGGAGACTTTCCATGGTTTTGAGGACTCTGAGATTACAGATCTGTAGGTTCTTCTTTAAAGAGACAGTTCACACTAAAATGAAGATATTCTGATAAGAAAACTGCTATTGACATCCATAGTAGGAACAACAAATATTATAGAAGTCAGTTTTTTTCAGCATTCTTCGGTATATCTTCCTTTGTGTTCAACAGAAAAAACTCAAATGGGTTTGGAACAAGTCAAGGATGAGCAGAATTTTTATTTTTGGGTGAATAGTCTCTTTAATCTGCAGGTGTTTTTTTTTTATATATGTGCCTTCCTTCTGTCATCAGAAACTCGTCTCATTTTTGGAGAATGAAATATAAAAACATCATGCAAATGTAGGTTATTGCTTGTATATGTAAATATTTGATGCATTTGATTTGTTGAAGATCCCTAGTAGTAACGCCTTCTATTGTTCTTTAAAGGATGAATGTGCAACTTGTTACAACTAATAGTTTTTTCTCATCACTGTTTGCCTTTTTCATCAGGTTTGATCTATCAGAATGTGCATAAATGTAAATAGAAATGAGTTGAAATCGTCACCTATTGTATTTAGGGTTATACTGTATAATACTTGATTATGTGCTAATGAATAAACAGCTTTAGGTATGTAATTAAGCAGTGTTTGTTTTCACTTGTTTTAGGAGAATGCATTTTAAAGCTGTCTTGCAATGAAATCTGGTAGTTTATTATATATTTTTTATGCCATTTCGAATCTTGATATTACTAAAACTACTAGGTTTTTAAAAATTTAAAGGTATAGTAACATTTATTATTACTAGTTCATTCAGGAGTACAGTTCAAAACTTTACAATGTGCAATTTATTTTTCTCCTGCTAATTTAGATTTTTTTCATACACTAAAACCCAAAAATCTAAGGTAACTCAAACCGTTTAAGTTCAAAAACTAATCCTAATGAGTACTGTGAACTTAATCCACTGGAGTAAATTAAAATGCTATAAATGGAGGGAACTCAAACCAACTGAGTACTGTAAAACAAGTTAAAGCAACTCAAACCGTTTGAGGAAACCGACTGTTACAAACCATTTGAGTTAAACTAATTTAAATGAGTACTGTGAACTTAATCCATTCAGGTTGAAGTAAAGAGGTGTTAAGTAACTCATTGCATTCAACACTGAGTTTAAAACTCTTTAAATGACTAGAACTAACTTTGTCAATTTTGAGTTAACCGCACTCATTTCATTTGATAAAGTTGAATGTTGGGTTTTACAGTGTATTGTACCTTTTATTACAAAACATTTTGGATATAAAACTAAAGTGTAATGGTAAATTCATAAACACATTTGCTGGAGAAAATGCACATCACCACTGTTTGGTGTCTGGATTTCAGTCTTTTTTTATATTTGACAATCTCCATCTTAGCCAGTTACCAAAAAAAAAGCAGAACTGACAATGTATATCACAGAAAATCCATTATTTACTTCTGGAAGCATAACAATATGACCCAAGAGAATATGCACTTAAATACTGATTAAAAGACCATTTATTCATTAAAAATGACAGACACAGCAGATAACTTTATGAAGTTTATTTATGAATAACAAAAGAGAGAGAAAAGTCTAACTGTATTCTTGACAACACAATAGTGATCTGGAGGTGCTAAGAGCATGTCTGAAGATGATGATGTGGAAAACAGGACTCATTCAAAACCACTGCAAAAAAACAAACAAACGATTAGTGGCTCAATAAAATAGAAGTGAATATTTGCAGATTCATTGTTTATTATTTCAGCTTACCTGACCAAATGAGCAATGTCCCAGTTTGTTTCAGACGACAGTGGTCCAATAATCTCCACTCCATCAGCTGTTACAATGGCGATTTCATGCTGCATACACACAAAAAACAAAGAAATCTGTTATTGCCTATTTCTAAAAACACAATAATATTTTAAAAATAAGTATATTTTCATAAAAGGTGTCAAATCACACTTTAAACTGCCTTTAGTGCATAATGTTATTAGTTTAAGTAACATTTACAAGGCACAAAATCATTCCAGCACGAGTTATTCTTAATTTCAGTATCAGATTCTGAACTCTCTCAAATGCTTCAATTCTAATCTTGTGCTTTTTCCAGAATTATACAATTATAATCTAATATAAAGATTACAAATTAAAACAAATAACTTCCTGGGGGGTCCTGGTTGAGTTAAATTAGTAGTGTGATGTCATCGGTTTTTCAGCTCTTAATATAATGACACATGATTTCCTCAACTGTTTATATTCACAGACATGACCAACATTGCGTGGTTCTGACAACAATAAAACAGGAGAAACAATAGTTTAATTCTCTCACAATATGCATTTTGACAGTAGGCCTCCTGTGCCTGAGCTTTGTCTCTCAGAAAACCGTATATATGAGGAGTTTATCCGACAAGACTTAAACACACATGCAGCTTTTTTGTTTGTTGTTATCAGAGTAACTGAGACACAAGCAGTAAAGGCTCCGCCCTCTTCTGCAAAAGTGGGTGGGGAGCAGTTGCTCATTTGCATTTAAAGAGACATAAAAACTCCAGAAATGACGCATTTACTGCATAATATAATAAATTGTATGTGGGGTATTGCGAGCAGATTTTACAGACGTTGTAGTGCCGTCTGAAACAGTAGGTTGAAATGTCTTACCCTGTTGTAGGACCGGGCATCACGGTAGTACAGAACTTTAAGGCATCGCTCTATCAGTTCTCGTGCCTCTTCTTTTGTGATTTCTTCCTTGTTTTCGATCACCTCCCTCATCAGAGGCTGCAAACACACAAACACAGATAATAAGTTGATGTGTTAAAAATCTTAACCTTAATTCTGATTAACCTCAAAACTCACTTACCTGTGCCAAATAAGCACCGAATCCTGTTGCTACTGTTGGGGCTTCATATGCAACTCCTAACTTGTCCACATAACCAAGAAAGCTTAGAAGAGCAATGAAAAACATGTTTAGTGGAAGATGAACAACATTAGGCAACTCAAAGTCATCATGAAATCAAAACTGAATATCATCATGCAAGAGAAATCGCTATTCTATATTGTTATATTGATTTTAGATAGCAGTTAAGTCTTATATTTTTGACAGTAATGTTTTTCTGTTCTGTCAACAAAAACAAAACAAAAACAAAAAGCAGTAGGACATTGCGGGGTTTCATTTCTGAACGAATCCGTTTTTTAACAAATCCTTTGAGTCAAGACTGAATGAATCAGTTTAACAAATCATTTGAGTCAAGACTGAACAAATCAGTTTTTGAACAAATTGATTGAGTCAAGACTGAATGAATAAGTTTTTAAACAAATCATTTGAGTCACGACTGAACAAATCAGTTTAACAAATCGTTTAGGTCAAGATTGAATAAATCAGTGTTTGAACAAATCGTCTGAGTCATGACTAAATGAATCAGCGGTTTTGAATGAATTGATTTTAAACAAACCATTTGAGTCAAGTATGAATGAATCAGTTTTTAAACAATTTAATCAAGTCTGAATAAATTCATTTTTAAACAAATCATTTGAATCAAGTCTGAATAAATCAATTTTTAAACCAATCAATTGAGTAAAGACTGAATGAATCAGTTTTTGAACAAATCATTTGAGTCATGTCTGAATGAATCCGTTTTTAAACAAATCACTTGAATAAAGTCTGAATTAATCGGTTTTTAAACAAATCATTTGAATCAAGTCTGAATGAATCAGTTTTTAAACAAACAATTTGAATCAAGTCTGAATTAATCAGTTTTTGAACAAATCGTGTGAGTCAAGACTAAATGAAATAGTTTTTAAACAAATCATTTGAGTCAAGTCTGAATGAATCAGTTTTTTAAACAAATCATTTGAGTCAAGACTGAATGAATCAGTTTTTGAACAAATCGTTTGAGTCAAGACTGAATGAATCAGCGGTTTTGAATAAATTGCTTGAATGAACAATTTACTGTATGAATGAGCACCACCTACTAGTGGTTTAATTTTCAGATTTGTCAATGCCGGATCTGTAGACCGTAACCGCACTTTTGTAAACACTGTGAATGTTGTTTAAAGTATTAGTTCACCCAAAAATAAAATGTATATATTGTTCATTCATCTTCAGGAAACAAATGAAGATATTTTTGATATTTCCTACACAGACAGCGTTGGTCATGAGATGTTCAAAGTCCAGAAAAGGAACCAAAAACATTGTCAAAACAGTCCATGTGACTTCATTCAAGCATTGTATAGCTCGTAGTAAACACACTGCCTCATGAAAGCTCCTAATTGGCTAAAGCAGCTGCTTTGGTTCAATTGTTTAATTGGATTCATGCATTAAGTGTGCCAAACACCCACAGTGCTGAATTTGTGCCATGCCACTCACACGAATAGTGCCACAGGATGTCCGAGTAATTATTACCAAATCTCATCTACAACTTTAAATACTGACTTGGATTTAAACACAAATACACTAGTTCACACCAAATGCTAGTTGGATAGTCTCCCACCTCTCTCCGTTGTAAAATCCACCAATGACCACTGTGTTCCACAAGGGGTTCATCTTGCTGCGGCGATTGTACATGACCCGCGTGAGCCAGGAGTGGATGGCTTTCGGGGTGTAGCTGTGTCCATCTCCAAGAAGCTCCTCATCAATCCTACACAAAAAAACATCAACCTATAAATAACGAGTCCTCAAAACTTAACCGATCCATAACCCACTGTATGCACACTTACACCATCTGCTCGATGATCTGTTTAAGGTACTGGTAGTCGGCGTAGTCTCCTGACGCCCCCAGGATGGTGCTGTTGTTGACTTTCATGAGTCGGGAGATGTTGCGGAAGCGCGCCAAAGAGCCGTAAGAGCCAAGCATGTCGGCAGCAATGATCACACCACCCTTGAACTTCACACCCAGCACTGATGTGCCCGTCACCATGGGGTTGCTGAAAAACATGAACGATTATTAATGATAAATCCATGATGAATGAATTCTTAATTATACGCATAACTGTTTAAAAGATTAGGATCTGGAGTTTCTTAAAAGCCTAAACAAAGCTGTATTTGCTTGATCAGAAATACTGTAAGAATCGTAATGTTGTGAAATGCTGCAGCAGGTATTACTCCAGTCTTCAGTGTCACATGATTCTACAGAAATCATTCTGATATGATGGCTGATAAACCTGACGGATTTGTAGATTTGTATTATTATTTTTATTCTAAGTGTTCAAAGAGGTCTTGCTATTTTTAAAGTATTTATTTCTAAATGAAAGATCAAACAAACCATTTAGAAAAAAAAACTAAATAATAAACATTAAATGTCACAAACGTTTTTGTTTTGTTTTGTGTGTGTGTGTGTGTGTGTGTGTGTGTGTGTGTGTGTATACTGTAAAACCCAACAGTTACCTTTATCAAATGAAATGAGCGTAGTTAACTCTAAATTGATTGAAAGTTAATTCTACTCAATTCCACTCAGTGTTGAAGGTAATTAAGTTTACTTAAATGGGTTAAGTTCACAGTACTCATTAGGACTAGTTTTTGAACTTAAATGGTTTGTTGCAATCGGTTCCCTCAAATAGTTTGAGTGCCTTAACCTTTTGGGTTTTACAGTGTGTAAATATATATATATGAGCAATTCCATGCAAATGTCAACCTTGCC